TGATATTGGATTGTTTAGAATTTTTAGGTCTTCTTCATTCAACTTGGGTAATTCATATATATCTAGGAATCTGTCCATTTCTTCTGCGTTTTCCATCTTATTGGCGTATAGGTTCTGGAAGTCGGTATTGATGATCCTCTGGATTTCTGCTGGGTCTGTTGTAATTTCATCCTTTTCATTCCTAATTGCATGGGTTTGGGTCTTTTCTTTTCTTTTTTGATAAGTTTGGCTAAGGGTTTGTCAATTTTGCTTATTCTTTCATAGAACTAACTCTTTCCTTCATTGACTTTTTTGTATCGTTCTCTTAGTCTCCATTGAATTGATTTCTGCTCTGATCTTTATAATTTCCTCCCCTGTATGAGTTTTGGGTTTGTCCTGCTCTTCTTTTTCTAGAAGCTTGAGGTTCAGCATCAGGTTGTTTAATTGGGCTCACTCTGTTTTCCTAATATGAGTATTCACTGTATGAATTTCCCTTGTAAGACTGCTTTCATTGTGCTCATAGATTCTGTATGTTGAATTGTCATTGTCATTTAATTGTAGGAACTGTTTGATTTCTTTTAATTTCCTCTGTGACCCATTGGTTATTCAGAAGTACGTTGTTCAATTTCCACGTGTTTACAAAATTCTTGTGGTTTTTTTTTTTATCTGTGTCTGCTCACCTCTTGGGCCCTGGGGGCAGTGGTACAGTGGCCTGGAAAGTTCACCTCCTCTGTGCTGGGGCAGCTCTGTTCCTGGGCGCTGGGGGCAGTGGTCAGGTCTTTCCAGCTTGATCGCCCATGAAAAATCAATGAATTAAAATTGCATCTTGTCCTTTGCAGTCAAAAACCTTCATACAAAAAATAAAATTTAAGGCCATGGGTATGGTCACTCCTTGATTTCTAATGCTAAGAATTTTGCCTGTATACAATGCTCCAAACAAATTTATTGACTAAGTGAATAAAAAGGGAAGACTATATGAAACTATCTTACTAAGAGATTTGATTACAAGAAAGCCCCACCTTTACTACATGTTGCCATCTGTAATTTATTGCTTAAAATTTTTGTTAATGATTTACCAATTCCCAAGCCTCTTACACTACCATCTCTTGAGTGTATTTGTTTAGTCTACACACCTGAGTTGGGATCAAGGTGGGGTGAAATAGGATAAGATAATAATAAAGGGCACCACAGGCAGGTGAGTATGGTGTGGCATGGGCATACTTGAGCAAGGGACTGTGTGGCTTGCACAAAGGCAGGATGGTAACATTGGAAGAGGATGTTTATGGCCCTAGATGCCTAGCTAAAACAGTTGTATGTGTGCTTTAGGCAGCAGAGAGCCATTAAAAGTCTTCGTCACCTTCACTGACTTCTTTTTACTTCTTTATTGTGGCAATATATGTATTTTATAATAAATTTTACCACTTTAATCATCTTATATTTACGATCCACTAGAATTCAGTGCATGCTCACTGTTCTGCAGTCATGACCATCAGCCATCTTGAGAAATCTCTTCAGCTTCCAAAACCAGAACTCTGTAGCCAGTAAACAATACATTGAAGGTTTTGGTGCCTGAGAATTAAGGGGATCAGAGCTTTATTTTATAATTAGTTGAGAATCTGGAAGATATACCAACCACTGAAGGTTAACATGGCTTTTGCTCCCCATCATTTAGTATTATTTTTTGATCACACTAACATCATAAGGAAGAATGTTCTATGTATATCAGATCATATCTGTGGACTTGGATAAAGGAATAAGAGTGGGGGAGGTAATCATGACATAAATTTAAATGAAAACGAGCTTTTACTGTATGCTAAGTACTAAAATAAGCACTTTATATTATCTCATTTAATCTTCACAACAAGTCCATGTGATTATGACCAGGTTGCAAGAAAGAGCTCTGATATTTAGAGGGACTATAATTTTTTTCACCACAAAGACAGCATTTTGAACTTACTCCGAACTCAGCCGTTATAGTACACCAAGGAAAATAGCACCACGTAACTTTTTCCCAGTTATCACATAGGAAACCATTTCTTTACAGTCTTTTCACTAACAGTGGCCTGTAGGTAAAAATCCTATTCCACCGCTTATTTCTGATGACTTGCTTTTAACTTCTACTGTAAAGACTGGGACTCCCCTGTTTTATAGCTCTAAAGGCTCACCAAGGACTTTCCCATTCATTCCTTCTACCACTACATCCTCAAACACTCCTCTGAGGTGTGTGAGGGAGATACTGCTCTCTTCTTTTTATCACCAAGGACACAAAAGTTCTCAGAGATTAAGTGCTGGCTTGTCTTACAATTGCTTGGAGGTCATAGAAGCTTCAGTCCATACTGTAGATACTCAGCTTATTTCGGCTGTCTTTAAAGTGCCCATTTTGATAATACGTTTGTGACTTGAATTTCTCTATTAAAACACCCATTTTCCTTGGCTACAGGGTCAGCAGCCCTTCAGAGTAACTGGCTTTGTTTCTGTTTAGACAGGTACCCTAACTTGTGATGGCTTGGATCTCTGGGGAGTTGTGCCTTGTGACAAGAACGGGTGAGTACCTTGTGCTAAACAAATGTCATTCCTCTTTTTCCAGAACTCGTCCTTTACTCTCAGAACTACTAATGGAACTTTCTGGGTTTTGGATTTGGTAAAGAGTGATTGCCAAAGTCTGTTCATTTAATTCCTGCTCTTGGATTCTTCCAGGTCTCCCCAAAACATGCACTCACAACCCCCAATGCCAAGTCCATTCCCAGCCCCTTGCCATCCAAAACCCCAGGAGATGAAAGGGAAGTTGTGATAACACAGGGGAGTCTTTGCTGAAATGCCATTTGTTTTCAGCACGTTCGTCAGAGGCCCGACAGTGAGCCAGTGTAAGTAACCAGACAGTGCCAGGACACTGTCCTTCAGAGCGGTGATATTCCGTGAATAAGCTGCAGCCGTTGGATGGGTGAGGAGGAAGGAGGAAGCGGGATTTGCACGCTGACTTTCTGGGAGAGGACCGTGTGTGGGACTGCAGCTGGCGTTTTCACTTTCCTGGGTATTACGGCTCTGGGAGCTCTCCCTCTTGGCTGCCAGCAAATCCTCGTTCCAGTCATAAGACTCCTTGTGGCAGTTTTCAACTTGGGGCAGATGAGCCTGTCGTCCTCCTGCAGCCCCCTAGTGGCCATAGGCGAGCTCGCTCTTCCACCTGCTGTTTCTCCCCAGGGCGGCCCCCAGTGCGATGGGCAAATGTGACGCATTTGCCACTTAGGTTTTGTTTGAAAATGAAAGCATTTTCTACGCAGCACTTACACCCAAAATCAAAAAGCTTTTTATATATAAAAGGTAAATTGGAGTTCTTTTCCGTTTGGCAGACAACATATAATTTATCCACAAAATATTTTTAATTGCACATGGTGAATGTTGTCACAGTAAATACCATTCATAAACAAATCTATTTTATAGGTTAAAGAATAATGCTGGTGTTTCTAACCATTTTAGTCTACAGAAAGAAGTGCTTATAAGTGTTAAACTTTCTACCATTCTTTGCATTTTTTTCCCCTAGAGGATGAATTTGAATATGTACCAGGTCTCCTTGTTTATTAGTGTTGTTCTGTTTCAGCTTTTACCAAAAATGTATGCATTTATGCAAATATGTGAGCATCTTGAAAAACAGTCTGTTTCTTCCTCATTTGTTTCCCTAACGTTGTAACCGTGCACAAGGCAGGTGTAGAAGGTGCATAGTAAACGCTCCCTGAAAGGCACTAAGCACACCTGTGTTTTGAATGTCCTACTTATTGAACTGATAACATATTATTCACAAGACTTTGGGGAAACTTATATTTCTAAAAACAACTTATTGTGTTTGGCTAAAAATCGATACAAGCTTTAGGTTACTGACTGATCGATTAGATCTGCCTCCCTTGCTCCCTTTCTCCCTTTTCCTTCCTCCTTTCCCCCTTTTCCTTCCTCCTTTCCTTCTTTTAAAAGAGTCAAATTTGGCTTCAAAAGACAAAAATAGCAATTTAAAGCAAAATAAATTGACAACTCTACTTCATGAAATGAGACAAAATATTTAATTCTAGGTAAACAGTCAGCGCCTGACTTCTAAATTGTTAAACCTCTTCTTGTCAAAGGTGGGTCACTCGTGTCTGATAATTCTTATCTCTCCTGCAAAGGGCCTGACCAGTGCTTCAGTTATTTCAAGCCACCTGAGCTTGATATTGAAAGCTGCCTGGGCTTGATAAATCACAAATAATCAAATAAAAATATAAGGACAGGAAGGACAGAGCTCTATGTATTTGTTGTGATAACCAGCCTGGCCCAACCTGCTGGCATTCACAGTTATCTCTTCAGAATTACAGACAGATGACAAGAACATTTGCCATCGTAAAAATAAGGGTTTTTTTCTGATATATACTTTGCGTTTTATTTTGTTCTATTTTTTCCTCTTGCATTGTCTCCAGTGCCTTTTTCTCTTTTTTAATTTTTATGTTTATTAGTAAATGTTTTCAATACCCAGTGATTACATTCCCTGTGTGCAGCTGGTACACGTATAGGACACATCTTCATTCTCCTTACATCCCCTCCCCTCCTCTCCTTACCCGCTCCCTCCATCTCTGGGTTCTCTTCCCTTTTGCAAAAGATGCCTCCCTTCCTATAATCTATCTTTTATGTAGCTCTTCAATTTATTTATACTTCGGGTGTCTCATATGAGAGAAACCATTTGATATTTAAGCTTATTTGTCAGATTTATTTCACTTAAGATTATTAGTATGAGCTCAGGCTACTGTGCTAACAATACCACTGGTGATCTCTTCCTTTTAGATGTTTAGTGCTGTACAATGGGGGATGTTGTAAGCCACTGAGATGACTTGTTATTGTGATGGATAATAATGGGTAAGACTAGAAGAGTCAGCCAAGAAGTTTTTGAGCTCAGTGTGACAAAAGAAAGCAAAACCCAGGAAGGAATATGGTGGAGTTGTGAGTTAATACTGTGATATGGATCCTTTCAAAAACAAAAGGCTAGGTAGGACTGGGGATGTAGCTCAGTGGGGCAGCGCCTGCCTGGCAAACGCAAAGCCCTGAGTTTGATTCCCAGGGCCAAATACAAAATGGCTAGATCAACTGAAGACTGTATTTCAAGAAATGCAATGAACATATTATTAAACATAAGAGTCTATTCCTTGGGGTCACATTTGAGACAAACAATGACAAAAATCTTTCCAAGACAGAGTAACTGGGAAGGTGAAAGTTCTGTTGGAAATGATGTTGAGAAATAGCTAGAGGTTCCAATGTCATCCAGGAGTTAAGGAGGATAAAAGTTAGGGGGATTATGGCAGAGATGATTCACAAATCTAAAAGAAGTGGACACATGGAGGAGAGTAAGCGAGTAGATGCTGACGGGCTCCCCACAGTAGATTTTACTTCTCCGTAGGAAGGAACTCCTGCCATTCCCTCTCCTCCAAATGTGAGTATTTTGTAAACCAAGTGCTGCGTTACACATGTAAGAAGGGGCTGACCAATAAGGTCGCAGAGAGCATTTCTCCAGGGAACCTGAGACTGAACTCAGGAGCTTCCATTCTGAAGTAGTGAAAGAATCCTGCATATGACATTTGGCTTGTATTTCCATAGATGTTTAGATGATGTAGTTTTTCATAAGAGTTTATGGGGACAATAGTAGCAGTATGGATCTAGGATGCTAAGGCAAGGGATACAGTGCCCTTTTCAAAAATATTTTTATTGCTCATTTCTTCACCATTATGACCTTGCAGATTTCCAGCAACCAATGCATTCATTCATTCATTCAGTCGTACATTTATTGATTGTCTACTGTGGGCCGAACATCAAGTATGTTAGGAGAAGGGTGCAGAAGTCTCAACCCAACCTGAAGGATTGACTGAAGGAGCGACACCTTCACACAGATAGAGTAGAAACCAGTCTTTTCTGTCCATAAGGTTAGAAAACAAGTGGTTCAGAGTTGGGGTAGGAGTGGGGGAGCTCAGAACCGAGGGCCATACATCCAGTTCTTATGATTTCTCTGAAATCAGTCTGAGGAGGAGTAAGGAAAACCAAGGAAAAAGAGCTTGGAAAGCACCTAGAGACCTTTCTGACATTCAGTAAACTTAGCTAAGGAAGATGACTACACGGAGCAGTATTAATGTGGGAGGATCGGCGAGTGGGTGTCTAATAAAACAAAGCATATTAAACTCCTCTTCTAAAAGAAATTCATCTCCAAGAAGTTCCACTTCCATCTCCAGCAGGTGGGCTCAGTGCTGAAGCCCTTTCTCTCTCCTGCTTTAGCTTCCAGGAAGTGCACAGCTTTGCTTTGGGCAAGGCTCTGCCATGGGGCCCCCTGTGTGCAGCCATGGCCAGCTGCCACTCTCTGATCCTGCTCGATGACACCATCCAGGGGGACCCGCTGGACCTCAAGATGTTTGAAGCCACTGCCTGGGTAAGCCTCTGTCTTTCAGGGAATCTGAGAAGCTTGTTCAATGTCAGTGCAATGCAGACCTCATTAATACTTCCAAAAATACGAGTTTTCCAAATGGAACAAAGGGCAAACCAGTCCAAGCCTGGTTTCCTCATCAGTACAGTGCAGCTGATAATGCTATCTATGTTGTAGGATTATTGTGAAGATTAAATGAGATGATGTATTAAGAATTTCTTGGTACAATGCCTGGCACATGTTATAAGTTCAATAGTATTAATGTAATTACTATATAATTATTCCCCAACTCTTTGTACTATTCTATGAGCAACATTTGATTTCAAAGTCTTCAAAAATTAACTTAGTGTGAATGGGTACATTAATTAGCCTGATTGAATTTTCTATGGTGTGTACATAAATTAAAATATCACATTGCACTCTGTAAATACACACAATTATTATTTGTTAACTAAAAATAAATACATGAATGAAAAATTTTTTTTCAGAACATGGGGATTAGGAAACGGCACGGTCTATACTGGCTCATTGTGACGGAGGGTTTCACTGCTCTTAATTTTTTATTGATTTTATTTCTAGACAGGAAGTAACAAAAAGGATAATCATTATGGAGCTCTTCTTGAAACTTTGAACAAGATTTAAGAGCAAATGCTACAGTTCAGGAATCTGGTGCCTCCAGTTCTAGGTTTAGCTGTGCTCTAAGTGCGTGATCCTCCGAAGTTCTCCCTTCTGTTGGGACTACAGCTTCCATGACTATAAAATGAAGGGACTGAATTAGATCCCTGATGTACACATAAGACAAGACAAAAAACTAGGATATTTCCTTAAAGGAAAACCTTATTCAGAAGCTGTCTTTAAAAACTAAATAACTGGAGTTGCTCTGGTTGAGACAGAGGGTGGGGGCGCAGGTGGGAGTATGGGACACATCCCCAAGTCTTGAGCTACAGCTCACCCTTTCCCTGCAGCTGCTTGCAGTTCTAGGCCCTGGAGTCACACTGTGTGCATCACGATCTTTAGGGCCCTTCCAGCTCCAACAGAGCGTGATTCTGTAGCGATCTGATGCTACTTTGCCAATTTTCCATTCTTCCTTGATTACAGCTTCCATATCTTTAAGTAGAGATTACAATTTCCTCTCTGAGATTCTTTTCAGCCACTCAATGAGATGATTACAAAGCTCTTTGATATCTTTAGGTGAAAGGTTCCTTTGGCTATAATTTGGAGTCATTATTACAGCAATTACTGAACATTTACCATGCACATCTCAGTTCTTGCCCTGCCCTGCCCCGCCCTGAGGACCATCAACCCAAATTACACAGACCACAGCATCAACAGTCAGTGAGTGCTAGGAAAGAAAGACAGCAAGGTACCCGCTTTGCACAGTCTGTCTATTCACGCTCACCATCTTTAAGTTAAGCTCTTCAGAAATAGAGAATGAGCCTTTCTTTATGCAGCACATTCCAACAGAGAAAGCACGATAAGATAAATTGCATGAATAATTCAGGAGAGTCTGCCCTTCAAGTTCTGTAGCATTTCCAATGCACGACCCTATTATGGGAAAAGCCTGGTTCCTCTCCATATAACATAGGAAAGTAACGCACAGAAAACACTGGGTGGTCCGAGGAGTTTGTCTCAGGGAGGGTTTGAGCATAGTGTCAGTAGGTGAGCAATAAGCAAATCCCAACAGTGAAATACTCCATTTGTGAAATAGGAAATGACTGTGTCTGAGGATGATTTCCACCTCAAGGGAGTGCCAGCGCATGCCATGGTAGTTAAGCCCCGAAAACCCGCCAGCCAGGTAAGCCCTGCCTGTCACACTCGGCTCCCAGCGCCCAAACTCCAAGGGAAATGGCCTTCTGGTGCTCAAGTTTTGAAAGCTCACAGAGGGGTCTTTGAATCTCAGTTGTGGAAAATGGGGAGACATTTCCTCCTTCTTTGTCAAAATAAGGATCGAGAGAGGAGCGGTCAATTCCCAACTGCTAGAAGCTCTGCCCTGTTCCTTTCCATTCTCCGTCCCTCCTCCAGGTCCCCGTGGAAGGCATGGTGATTTTGCACCAGTTCCCATTCTCCTCAGCCCTGCAGAGGATGACAGTCATTATCCAAGAAGTGGGCGGTGACCGACTGGCATTCATGAAAGGCGCTCCAGAGAGGGTGGTCAGCTTTTGCCAACCCGAGACAGGTTAGTGCGTGGCCTTGCGTTAGGACAGGCAAATCTCTCTTTCTTGTCACGTATGTCTCCACAGTCTGTGGAGCCTCTTGCCTGCTGGTCATCGCCAGCTGGCTGACTCTTTGGCATTCCAAACTCAATACCAAAATCAAGCTTAATGTTCCCACTTCCTGTATTTTCCGATTTCCCATCTTGAGTAGTGGTACCCAAATCTCCTTTCCCTACCCACTCCCTCCCAGCTTGGTATTGGTGGCACTGAGTACTTCTGCCTCCCCTTGCAGCTGCTTGGATATCAGCAATGATCTCCAGTTATATTGTTAGTGTACCTTTTACCCAATTAAACAGAAATCCTTAGAGAAGTGCTTCAAGTTTAATCTTTGCTTGGCCAATGTCTGGCACATAGGAGACCTGGGTGAAAAGAATTCCACACATTCTCTCTCTTTTTTTTCCCCTTTTTTTCAAATACTTCATTATCAGTTCAGCTGCACTGGATGCTAAGAACTCAACCTTGACCTGTACGTATATTATAATTCTCAATGACTTGTTTGCATAACTTTTTGGAAGTGTATTTTTTTTTTTTTTTTGGAGAGAAGTTGAGTGTCTGTAAAGAATTTCTCTGTCAGTATTAGCTAAGTAAAGATTGCATGCTATTAATCTTATGTTATTTTTCTCAACAGTGCCAACTAGTTTTATTAGTGAACTTCAGATTTACACGACACAGGGGTTCCGGGTGATAGCGCTCGCCTACAAGAATCTGGAAGCTGACCACCACACATCTGCCTTAACGAGGTAAAAGAGGATTGCGATGCAACAGAATGGTTGGTTGAGAAGAACTGCAAGACTGGGATGGGACTCAAGGTTTCTGGGTGGGACATAGCAACATATTGCTCAATTTTTGCACATGAAATGTCTTTAAACATCGGTAAAATGTTGTATTAGCTACTTTCCTGTTGCTGCTGCAAAACCCCCAACACTTAAAGGAGGAGAGGTCTATTTTGGCTCTCAGTTTCAGTCCATGGTCAGCTGGCTCCCAGGGCAAAACAGGATGACAGAGAGCCCTAGCAGAGGAAAAGCTGCTCAGCCAATGACAGCTGGAAAGCAGAAAGAGAAGGGAGGAGAAGGGGACAAGGATATACCCTTCCAGGTGACACTGACTGTGACCTGCCAGTGACCAGAGCAAGCCAGCTATGATTAATTATAGACTGATCTACTGATATCCGTAGTGCCCCCAGGATTCAGTTACCTGCCAAACACACGGGACTTTGCAGGGACATTTTAGGAATGCTTTTTGGTTTTTTTTGGTACTAGGGATCAAACTCGGGTCCTTGCCCTTGTGCAGTGGGCAGCGAAACCTGCAGAGACATTTTAGATCAAAACCGTAGCACAGGTGTATAAGTCAGGCATCCCGGCTCCGCCCGAACCACAAAGCTGATGTGGACACTGATCAGAGAATTTACAAGAAATATCCATGGAAAATGTAAAACATAATGCTATTTTACAACTTTACAAAAACAGATATCTGACTATAACCAGTGTTTCAGAGTTTGAAATTGTGGTCGTGCCCTTATTTTATAAGTTATAGTTGGTGAGTTTGTTGAAAGTAATGAAACATAACAGTATCCTGAAAAAATCTTTAGAAGAAATACACAGTTTAATGAAACAAATAAATATAACTTGAAGTTACCTAATGTAGGCAATGTTTGAAGAGATCCACAAAAAGCTTCTAAGGGACCAGAATAGGGAAAGCTTTGATAAGCTCCATTAAAGTAGGGATGTTATTAGCTAAAATGGACTGTAGGATAGATGAGTTTAACTATATTTGTTGTGATTTTACTTTCCATTCTTTTTAGGTTACCTTGTTGATTTTACCTTCCATGGCTTTTCTGATACTCTGTTAGCAGTCACTATAGTTACATTGCTGTGGGGAAAATCACAGCTCATATATTTTTATTGAGAATTTTCAATCAGGAAGGTCTAGCATATTTGTTCTCAACATTATCATATTCAGCACTCTCTAGTTGAAACCGTATTTTAAATTCTTCCTGTAAGATACTAAAATAAAATTTGTATGTGATACTATGTGTACATCCTCTTTGCAAAAAGTAAACACAACGTCCTCTGATATAATTAAATAAAAGCAAAACATGTATCATGAAAGCAGTAGTTCAAGAAATACTCCACTGATGGCACTGAAACAAATTGAGTACGTTGTTTGGACCTGTGTACAGAAACCTGGGGGCTGCAGCGGCTGATATGGGGGGTGCTCCTCAGGGTTGTCTCAGCTCCCACAAACTGTCTCGCTGTCAGCAAGATAACTGTGAGATGGTTTACAACTCTTCATAAAACTTGGATAGAAAATAGTACAATCTCGTCTCCGTTTACATACAATTTACAATTCCTGCACAATTCAACAATGTGCAAAAATATAGAAACATTGCTAGGGGGAGAATAATACGGTTTTATAACTTTCATACAGTAATGGATATAATAGTATAGTATACTGTATAGTCAAATAATGTAAACAGTGTGAGTTTAAACTGACTTAGCCAAGCACAATTGTGTTAATGATGATGAATATCCAGGAAAGACTTCCAAAGGTATGTGAGGTGTGGGATCGTTCTCTGTGTGTTGCTCATATCCCCTAGAGGCGGCTCTGTCTCTGGGAGTGACGATGTGACCAACCTTCTCACTTGGTGGCTGGGTAGAATGAGGTGCAGAGAGGAAATGGCTCCTTTAAAATCACTGAGTGTTGGAATCCGGGGCTCATTGGACCACTTCCTCTGGGGCCAGCATACTGTGACCCCCTGAAACTTTGGTGAGAAAAACCCTAGATATTTCTTTGAACCTGATCAACTCTGTTTTTGTGAGTTCTTGAGGAAATTTCACTCAAGTCAGAGAACTCAAAGTGAGCTTCAAATGTCACACTTTTGGTGAGTGTGTGGTCCTGGGGATTGGACATGGCTTCACATTGATATCCACAGCCCTTTTTATTTGGAGACAATTTCTCACTATGTTGCCAAGTTGGCTGGGAATTTGCAATCCTCCTGCCTCAGCCTTTTGAATAGTGAGTGGCTAAGCCACTCACAGACATGAGCCACCATGCCTGGCTAAATGTCACATTTTGTAGAAGAGCACATTTGAGTCCGTTGCCAAGGATAGAGCATGATTCTGGCTACTATGCTGCTTCGGCTTATTATTATGAGATATTCGCACAGGAGAGCGCACCCCCTCACCAAAGGTGCTGACTACATTCTAACTTTTCAAAACCCAGTAAAGGCTTAACCCAAGTTTACCAACAGTATCTAATGTTAAGAGTCAATTAGCTTCCTGTCTCAAAGCTGCATCTTCACTATATATACCCCTGGATAAGTGCATTGTCCATCCTTTGCTAATCCCTGGCTAAGACAGAACATTCTTTCTGTTTTTTGGTTTTGTTTTGTGGGCCTGTATGGGTGCATGTACTGATATCACAATCACTTTGAAGGCTATTAGCCAACTTTGTGCATATTTCTTCCTTTACAATTTCCTTGGATTGTAAGAACATGAAGCACAGTCAGAGGGATGACAATTCTCCCTTTAAGTACATCACCTTTCATTGTTAGTTTTAGATGCTTCCATGGGAGTCATAACATCTGTGCAGGAAGCAGAAAAAGAGCCTGAGATGCTAAGTTGCAGAACCTGAGATCTCTCAAAGATGTGCTCCTTCTTTCCTGCCCCAGACTGAACACCATGAAAAGAACAGCAATGAAATGTTAGAGCTAGCAGAGACCTTGAGACCCAGAGATGAAATAGATAACCAGACAAAGAGAGCAGTTAACTCATGGTCATAGCAAGGTGGTGATTGAAATCACAGGGCTGAAATCACAGTGGCAGTTTCCTAGTTACTGTGCATCCAACATGCAAAAGGCCATAGCCCAGAGGAACTAGAAGTTCTAGTGCTAAGGTGGGCCAGGGCCAACGTCTGATGTTTGGCTTTACAGCAATTTTCTTGGCCTCATATTGCACTCGGTGGTTGCCTCATGTCACTGCATCTCTACAAATATCTAAAGCCTGAGGCCTAAGCATAAGGTCTACAAGAAAGATCACAGGACCTTAATCAGACATCAACTAAGTTATCCTACACAGACCAGCGCCCATGGCTTTCCAGCAAGGTTTCCCCAGTCACTACCCAGAAATGGTTGTCTGCTCCTCTCTGACTCTGTGGGACTCTAACTCAGGCATCTGTCATGGTTCTGTTTCCTGGCTTCCCTATGAGCACGGGGTCATGTCTGATCGCTTCCTCCTGGCTGAACATGAAATCTCTGGAGTCTGGGGCTGCCACCGTCTCTGCATATTCTCTCCCAGTTTTCCTCCATCCCAATCCCTTCAGTCATTAGGTGCTCAGTAAGTGCAGATAGGCCTGATGGACTGAGTTCCCAGTGAGAACCCTGGGAAAGGAAATGAATTTCCTGGGCTACATGAGCAAACACAGTCACAGCAGGCACCGGCATTTGTCCAGGCATACATTTGCTGAGCACTGCCTGTGTGTGGGTGCCATGTGGGCACTGTTGAACACAGTGTTAAATCAGGAAGTCTTGCCTTCCAGCGGTGGAGATGGGGAGGCAGGTGAGAAATCTGACAGTGATAGTATATGGACAAATAAAAATGAGCTAAGCTGATGTAGAAATAATACACTGAGGGAGTGATTCCTCCACCTGGAGAAGCCTTTAGGAGGGAGGAAGGGTGTGAACTGGGCCTCAAAATACAGGAAGGGTTTCAATGAGTTATCATGGGAACTTATAAGCTTTTCCATGAAATAAGGAAGAAAGCCTAACAGCAGTGTGGAGTAAATGTGTGGACATGGCTAACCACACAGCATATCCAGGGAGAGTGGTCCAACTTGGCTGGAGGTCAAAGTGGGAGAAAAGTTGAAGGATAGATGATGAAGTGGGAAAACTAATTTGAAATAAATCATATGAAGATTTAAATTCCAGGCTCAGAAAAATAGGAAACACTATTCTTCCAATTTTGCTCTGAGGCGAATGGCTGAAACTGTCACTTTTGCAGCCTGGTGGAGGTATTAATTCTAGGTCATGGCCCTGGAGATGTGAGATCCAGTGTTGGAGTGCATGGGGCAAATTTGGCAGGAGAAGGGTTTCAGTGGGTGCTGCTTTCATCTGTATTTCAGCCCAAATTGAGCAGAATTGCTGTCTTATTCTTGAGTCTGTGTCTAAATAAATGAATCATGGAAAAGTCAATGAATTTAACTCCAACTACACTCTCATGTACTTGATCCACTGGAAGGTTCCTGAAGATGGGATATAGGGCACCTTGGGGACCTCACTACTTGCAGAAACATACACACTCATAAAGTCTTTTCCTACACCAATGTCTGCAAGAGCTCTACCTAACCCATCTTCCAGTTGGTTCAGCATTTCTGTTTTAATATTTAGATCTTTGATTCATGTTGATTTTAGTATAGTGCATGGTGAAAGACATGCATCTAATTTTAATCTTTGGCAAGTTGAAACTCAGTTTTCCCAGCACCATTTATTAAAGAGGCTATCTTTCCTCCAGTGAAGGTGTTTGGTTCCTTTGTCAAAGATGAGGTGGCTGAGTGTGTCTGGAGTTGTTTCTGCATCTTCTAATCTGTTCCATCGATCTTTAGGTCTGTTTCTTTGCCATTACCATGCTGTTTTTATCACAGTAGCTTCATAATATAGTTTCAAGTTGGGGATTGTGATAACTCCTGCCTTGTCAATTGCATGGAAACTAGCACAAAGAATCAATGACTGGGATATCATCTTATTAAAAAGCTCAGCACAGCAAGAGAAACCACCAACAGAGTGAAGAGACAACCCACAATGTGGGAAAAAATTCTACCAGCTGTTCCTCAGAGAAAGGACGACTATCTAGAATATATAAAGAACTTAAAAAAATCAGACCCCTCAAATTTAAAGACCCAATCCAAAAATGGGCATCTGAAATGAACAGACATTTCTCAGACAAAGAAGTAGAAGCAGCAAATAAACATGAAAAAATGTTCAACATCACTGGTCATCTGAGAGATGCAGATGAAAACAACACTGAGATTCCACCTCACTTCAGAAAGAATGGCTGCTATCAAGAAATCAACCAATAGCAAATGCTGGCAGGGCTGTGGGGAAAAAGGAACCCTTCCCCATTATTGGTAGGAGGGTAGACTGGTGCAATCACTGTGGAAATCAATGTGGAGATTCCTCAAAAAACTAGGATTGGAGGTCCCATTTGACCCAGCTATTCCCCTTCTGGGTATCTTCCCTAAAGAATTAAAAGCATCATACCACAGTAATATATGCACACCCATGTTTATAACGGTGCAGTTTGTAATAGCTAAATATTGGAAACACCTCAATTGCCCAAAAAGAAGATGTGGGTTTAAAAATAAATAAATAAAATAAAATGGAGTACTACTCAGCCATAAAGAATGATAAACTAGAGACATGTATAGCTAAATGGATGGACCTTGAGACCATACTCTTAAGTGAAATAAATGGGACACACATGTGTAAATAGCAAATAGTTTCTCTGGTGTGAGAAACTGAAAGTGTAAATGAGGACCACAATGTGTAATTGACATTGTGAAATAGGAAGAAAAGGTTCAAAGGGTAAGGGAACCTAGGGAGGGGGCTTGAGGGTGGGGCACAGGAAAGAAGGGAAAGAAAAAAATGAGAAAAGAAGGAAACATAGAAACCAAGCTTTTGTAAGTAGGAGGGGTGGAGGGGTGGAAGGGAGGGCAGGGGAATGGGGAAAAAACAAGAACCATGATATATCGTGTATAGGTACAAATTCCCAATGATGAATTCGATCATAATGTATACCTAAAATGTACCAATAAACTTAATGAGTAAAAAAAAGATAAAATAAATAAACTTATGCCCTTAAAAAAATAAAAAATCATACAATCTCTATGCAGAGACACAATGCTAGCAGCAGAAGGGGAGGGGAATAAGTGTGACCTTAGTAACGAGGTCTACTTGTTGACCTGTATCAAATCACATGCCTCCTTGGGCTAAAATGGTACAGCACTGCTTTCTGGAGAAACATATTTTATCTTTCTTTTGCCTCATTTATTTGTTATGATGTTTTGTACCAGAACTTGAATTCTTCTTGGTGGCTAAAGGTGAACTAATAAAAATCAGATAAGCCATAGTGGATTGGAGAGGGCGTACACTCATTTAGGTCATTCTCTACGAAGGCTAAAGCCAGATTTCTGTTTAATAAGTACTCCCTTCCTCTTGATTCAATCAGAATAAACATTCATTGTGTCTCCTCCTGTTTTCTTTCTGGATTATTTCTGGCACATAATCGTGCCTCAGGAGTAGAGGTTTGAGTTGGTCACTGTAACAGGGATCTTTTGTCTTATTAAAGCCTGTAATACGGAGGCTATAATGTGCCATTCTTTCTTCTCAGAGAGAAGGTAGAATGTGACCTGGTATTTCTGGGATTACTGATCTTGGAGAACCGACTGAAGGAAGAGACAAAACCTGTCTTGGAAGAGCTCATCTCAGCACAGATAAGGACTGTAATGATCACAGGTATAGAACAAAGTGGGCAATGAAGACAGTGAGAACCTGGTGTGGGAACAGACTCATTTAACAAATAGGGTTGTTTATCCACTATGGGGCAAGGCATCATTCAAGGTGCTGCTTTCCTTAAGTTTCCCCTGCAGCGGGGTGAAAGAAAATCAATCAGTCAATCATTCAGTGAATCAGTCAGCCAGTCAAATAGTGTAATAAATGTTTGGAGGTACACAAAATCGGGTGATGTAATGAGTATCTGACATCTGTTTTGGATGAGGCAGTTCAGAAAGGCCTCTCTGAGCAGTGACATTTGAATTAAGACCAGAATGACAAGAAGATATGAGCCACGCAAAGACGATGATTTTTATTGTCAAATGTTAGAAGATGAAAGGTGCTTAGTCAATATGATCTATAAACTCCACTGAAGGCCCATCAATAAGAGAGTCTATAATGTTGGAGTTAAAAGAAAATGCTGCCCTCTTTATTCCTAATCCCAAGCTCTGGATCAAACAAACAAGGGACCAGTGAGAAGAGATTGCTAAGGGAAATGTATGGAATTGTTTAATGAATGTTTTTCCAAGGTAGGAAGGTCATGGTGGAAGTGTCTGGTGGAAGACAGTTGAGCATGCAATGGCCAACAAACAGGAAGCAGAGAGAGAAATGGTGAGCCAAGGAGGGAGACACGCTGCTCCGGCTCCCACCCCAGTGACTCACCTCTTCCACATCTTCCAACCTGGCACCATCCAACAGCACAGTCAGCCCTGGATTCGTCCGTGGAGGAATCCACTGTCGCGCACAGCACCCCCATGGTCCAATCGTCTTCTGCACACATGAAAACTGGGGGTGGAGGGGCTTTTAGATCTAAGCCTTAATAGGGACCCCTTAATTGTTATAGGTTGTAAATGTCTTTGTCAGATAACTGAAGCTCAGTCTGGGCTGTACTTCCTCCATAGTGGTCTCTCACCGGTAGTGGGCCAGCGGAAGTGGTGGGCTCCCTGCTGAGCATGTGCAGAAGCTTCTTAGCGCTCAGGGTTCCGTTTGCCCGTCCAGCTGCAGGACCCTGTTCTTTGCCACCAGTCTCTTGCTTTGAGGGTCTTCCTATCTATTATGCTGAAACTTGGGAGAAGCCAGCTAGGGACAGTCAGACCGGTGCTGTATTATTTACTTTTTAGAAGTTGCTCTAGGAAGCAGTGTATGTACCTATCATTTCACGAAGCTTTAAACCAGGAATGTCCCTTGCCTGTCCCTTATGTTATAAGCGTCATAAAGGTAACAGACCTTGGTTGAGAACCCCCACTGAATGTTACAGTACTGTATTTACTTTCAAGAGGTGGGAGTTAGAGATCGTGAGGGAAGAAAGTGGTCTTTCATATCTACCCAGAGCTTTGTCATTTTGGTTGCGCTGTTTTTATTCCTTAAGTACAAATTAACCTCTGGTATCATTTCCTTCAGCCTCAAGAGCTGCTTTTAGCATTTCCTTTGAACACATCTGCTGGCAACAAATTATGTTAGTTTTCTTTCATCTTAGAATATTTTTATTTATCCTTTATTCCCTAAGGATGTTTCACAGCTGTAGGAGTCAGAGCTGAAGGTTCTTTTCTTTTCTTTTTTTCCCTTAAATTCTTTTATTGGTACATTTTAGGTATACAATACATTTACATTTATCATTGGGTGCTTGTACCTGTACATGATGTATCTTGGTTCTTATTTTTTCCCCATTACCTGTGCACCCTTCACCCCCTCCACCCTTCCCTATTTACATAGACTTTGTTTTCATTTTTTTCTTTTCTCATAATTTTTCCTTTCCCTTCTTTCCTTTCCCCTTCCCCTCCCACCACCCCTACACCTTTGGACCTTTTCTTATTTCAAATTATCAGTTATTCATTTTAATCATTTTAATCCTTATTTACACTTTCAGTTTCTCACACTAGAGAAACTATTTGGTATTTACACATGTGTGTCCTATTAATTTCACTTAAGAATATTGCCTCAGTATGCATCCATTTAGCTATAAATGACTCTAGTTCTTCATTCTTTATGGCTGAGTAGTACTCCATTTTATAAAAAAACCACATCTTCTTTATCCAGTTTCCAGTTGATGGACACTTGGGCTGTTTCCAAGCTTTAGCTATTACAAACTGTGCCTCTATAAACATGGGTGCACATATATCACTGTGGTATGATTTTTTTAATTCTTTGGGGAAGATACCCAGCAGAAGGTTCTTCTCTTAGAGCACTTTAAAGATGTAGTTCCACTGCCTTCTTGACTCCATGGTTTTTGAGCAGAAATGGGTGACAATTTAAATCACAGCTCGTTTATCTATAATGTGTTCTTTTTCTTCATCTGCTCTTTTCTTTAGCTTTGATTTTAGTAGTTTGATCCTTATGTCTCTGGGTGTAGACCCCACTGAATTTTCTCATTTAGGGTTCACTGAGGCTTCATGCATCTGTAAAGGTAGTTTTTTTTTTTTTTAAATCATATTTGGAGAGTTTTCTATTATTATTTCTTTTAATATTTCTTTCTTATTTCAGTCTTTTTCCTCTCCTTCTCAGATTCCACTGACCTGAATAGGAGTCCTTCTGATACCCTTGAACCTCTTTATGTTGGCTTACTTTTCTCTTTTCCCCATATTGTACAATTGTCATTCATCAGTCTTTCAGTTTGGCCCTTTCTTTTATCACCTCCATTCTGCTACTGAGTACAACCTCAGATTTTAAAAAAAAAATTAAATTCTGTATATCTAGTTCTTTTTTTACCATTGGTATATTTCTTTGTTGAGAACATCTGGCTTTCAATTTGTTCCATGAATATTAACATCTACCATACAAAGGAGACTTTTAATAGCTACTATCTGATGATTTCCACTTCTGAGTCATCACAGGGTTGGCAGCTATTGATTTTTTAAAGTTGAAAATTGGTCAAATAGTCCATATTTTTTGTATGTGGAGTATTCTCAGCATGTTGGCTATTGCTCCACGAGACTTTGAATCCTGCTAAAACATTCTGGAGAAAGTTGAGCGTTTTTTTTTTCCTAAACAGGTGATCATCTCAAATCCTGTTGTGCCTGTTGTAGGAGGTGGTTCCAGAATTCACTTAGATATTAAATCTTTTGCTGTGATTTTGGGTTTTCCCTATGCAAGGGTTACTCTGAAGTGATTTATAGTTTAGTTTAGTTCTTGAAACTTCTATCATCCTTCTTTGGGTCTGCTCTACATGTGGGTTGAGCCTGAGATTTACAGAGTTCAAACACTGAATTAGTCCTCTTTCGCAGCTCTCTTATTCTCAGAATTCATTTTATCAAATTATACAGCCTGCAGGGGATCCTTTTCTTGGCTCCTCTGCCCTGAGAGATTGGGTTTCTTTAGCAGTTTTAGCTTCCTGAACAGCTCTGGGGTTAGGGCTTACATTCAAGTCAAATATGAGAGGAAAGAGAAGCAAAGCTGAGAAACTCACCCCCTGGAGGGTGCTTTTCCAAGGCTGACTCCTTTTCACAGTCTGCTCATACTTGTTTACTTTTTAAAGTCTCTTGGGTAGTTGCTTTTGGTTTTGTGTTTCGAGTTTGCAATTGTAATAGATGGGAAAGATAGTTTATACTAGGCTTACTCCACCTCGATCGGAAGTAGATCCACGATACACTATTTTAACTCTGTAGGGTTTCCTAAATGTTCACAAAGCTCTTAACAACTGAGAGAAATAGATTTGAACTTTGTTTTCTTATTTTTTACTCTTCTATTCTGGCAAAAATCCACCATTAGATCAGGAAGTAACCTGATGAAAAGGAGCAGGAACCAGAAAAGGGATTGTGAAATGATAACCCAGGACTGAAAATGTCCATAGAGATGATTTCTCTTTACCTCTACAGTAAGGACTGAACTCTTCAGCTGGCTTTCCAGGCTCTGCATGATTTGCTTCTCTCTTCAGTCTCACCTTGGGATCTCTTCCTGTCTTCTAGGTGACAATCTTCAGACCGCGATAACAGTGGCTAGAAAGTCTGGGATGGTTTCTGAAAGCCAGAAAGTCATTCTCATTGAGGCAGATGAAACCCCTGGATCCTCATCAGCATCTATATCTTGGAAATTAGTAGAAGAGAAGAAACACATTGCATGTGGAAATCAGGTACACCCGGAAGCAGACCTTCTGCCATGTCACCTGACTTGTCGCATGGTGTTGGTGATCCACAGCCGTGATTGGCAGAGGTGTTGAGGTGACTTGGAGCACACACACTTCTCCAGACATCTAACAAATATGTAGTTCGATGAACCCAATTCTATCAGTTTTTCACACTGTTCCTACTGCTCTCCAAGGCACAGGCTTTCTTGGGTACTGGAAATGATCCATTCTTTTACACTTAAAGAACTTGTTAGTTTTGTGTGAGAAAGAATATACTAAGCAGAGCTGTGAATCAAATTTCCCATTTCTCCCCTGGCTTGTCAGCCACCCCATGGGTTCCAAGGGGATTTAGTTCCTGGGAGAGACACTGCTGTGTGCGTTGCAAAATCAGACTATGTCTTCAGGGTGGGGAAAAAAACCCATTTTATTCATGTATCTCTATTCTTGTCAGTAGTCTATTTCTATTGTGTCCTTGTGGGATGATATTAATTCTGTAAGAAAAAAATAGTAAGCTCCCATTTCAGGGAGAGAGCTGTTAAGCTGCAATACTTTTATAGTTTACACTTGAAATGTGTGAAAAGTGCTGTTCTTTGGGACTCACCAAGATCAAATCAGGATGAGAACAGGACACGAGGAAGTGTTATTCTCCTATTCACTATTCACTGTGATGTGTGAAGATTGATCTAGCAAAGAGGAAATACTTCTCTGAGAAATCAGGGCTGGCGTGTGACTTTAGAAGAGGTACCCTGGTCTGTCTGCATTCCTTTCTCTCAGATGTGCATGTCTTACCCACTCTCTCAAGTGGAAGAATCTGAAATAATCGTAAATTACTTTGCAGGACAATTACATTAACATCAGGGAAGAAGCCCACGATAATGGCAAAGAAGGAAGTTACCATTTTGCCCTAGATGGAAAGTCCTTCCAAGTTATAAATCGCTATTTCAGCAGCCTCCTGCCAAAGGCAAGTTATGAGAGGGCAGAAGTCCCTCAGAGAAGATACTTGATGGCATTTCTTGAATATAGTCCTCAACAACTTCAAACTTCTAAATAGCACAGATCCAGTTAGTCCTGTGTATCGTAAGAGAGGCAGATATTTTTTGGAGAGGTTACTATCATTTTATTTCCTGCTAGATTTGTAATAAATAAACTTGATTGGTTGTTTTTCCACCATCTAGAGGATTGAAGTATCAGTGATTTATTAAATCATAAGGATTGATTTTAGGTAGATTTCACTATGTTGCCACAATGAAGGATCTCATAGAGAAAATCCTGCAATTGTATAGGAAGACAGGCCAAGAATGAAAGACTGCCTTTTTTTTTTGCCATTTGGTTTTTAATAAAGGAGCTCTATTCTGAGGAGAATGAAATTTAAAGCTTTTCTGATGAAGAACGAGCCCATGGCAGATAACATATCTGCCAAAGAATAAAGATTTTCAGTGCACACTAAGCTGAATTTACTGCCAAGAGGAACATGGAACACATACATGAAACACAGAAAAATTAAAACTCTATAGAAAGCAGTTGAGGAGAATAGAGCTGGCATAGGTTTTTATATCCTCAAACAATCTATGTTCCATAGCTCAAAGTAGATGTGAGTTAGTAGCTGAGTTTCATAGTTGCTCAAGGCTAGATGATGATATTATTAAGTCAAAGGCCACAGATAGTCATGAGGCTGTTCTTCACAATTTCTGGACAATTTTTTGAGAATCAATTGGTCTTTTTCTTGTCTTAAAAACCTGACCTCTTGCTTTGCTGCAATTTTCGCAAGTCCACTGCTTCAAGATTTCATTAAACTCTTGATTTTTCAAGACCACCTTCTCCGTGGATGCTGGGCTAAATTCCTGTCAGTGATTATTTTTATACAGTACTTTAATTAAAAATCTTTATCTTTACTAATATTTGGTATTCCCTGTCATGTATCCGATGACAAAATCTCAAAGTCTGTCTTAAAAATCAAAAGAGGATCCCGTAGAAACAAACATCTTTTTTCATTCACAATCACCATGCCCAGCTAGTGTTCTCTTGTCAGGTATTTCATATATGACCAGCTTACATCACAAATTTCCTTTGGCTTCTTACAGATACTGATCAATGGGACAATCTTTGCGAGAATGTCTCCTGGGCAGAAATCCAGTCTGGTGGAAGAATTTCAGAAACTGGAGTAGGTTCTTTGACAATTCAGACAGTGTGAACTGCATGGGGGGTTGGCAGTAATGGGAGCATCAGAGGTTCAGGGACTCAGTTTGGCTAGGGCAGTGGTTCTTGCCATGGCTTCTCATCTAGGGAGCTTTGAAAAAATAGCAAAACCAGGACCCTGCCTCCCAGAGATCCTAATTTAATTAGTCACATGGGGCTTGGCTGTCAGCATTTAAAAAAAATTGTTCACATAAGTCAGTTTTGAAACCAAAGTTAAGAACCACTGGACTAGAGCATAGGGGTCTGAAAAGGTATAATGAGAAATAACACTGGATATGTGATTTGAGCTCAATTCTTAAAGGTACAATGAGAATATAGACTTTATTTTTATAAGCTATCATCATAGTTATAGGGAGATTCACATGGTAAGAAATTCATAACCCCTCAGATATTAAAATATTCTTAAGCTAAAGCATCCTTTCCAGCTTGAATAAAAACAAATCAAAAACATTAACACAAAGGGTTTCCATTTATTAGAATAGGCAACTCAAATGAAGTGACTTTCATGCAGAGTGCTGTCAAATGCTTGTCCTCTTAGAAGCCAACTTTCCAAAATCTTTGTCAAAAGCTCCACAGGGAAGTATTCACCTGACCTCAACAAACCACCCTCAACTAGCGTGGTGCACACCTGTAATTCTAGGTACTTGGAAAGCTGAGACAGGAGAATCCCAAGTTCAAGGCTGGCCTGGGCAACTCAAGGAGACCTTGTCTCAAAATAAGATTTAAAAAGGCCTGGGGATATAGGGTAATGGTAGAACACTTACCTGAGTGAGGTCCTGGATTCAGTCTTTAGTACTAGGAGGAAAAAAGCCATCCCAAAGCAGGGGTGTGCTTTTTTTTTTCTTTGGCTTTTTGACCTGGTACGTCATTTTTCAGCTGAGTGACTGCTGGCAGGCTGGTGTTCCTCTTGTGTTACTATTAACAGTACTGACAACTAAGAGTTGCTTATCATTTTAGACTTCATAAAGTCTTTGCCATATAGCGTCTCATTTTATACCCATAACATTTTGTAGAGGAGAAAAATGATGGTCAGAACGGTAAGATGATCAGGTCAAAATTTAGATCTTCTGGTTCCAAAAGCTGTCCCTTCTCCTCTGCTTTGTGGTATCTCATCATATGGTCACAAACGCCCTTACTTTGCAACTCAGTAACCAGCTTCCTCAATAGCACAGTGGAGCATCTACATGGACAGTTGGAGCCAGGAATGATGGGCTGGATTTCTCAACACATTGTAAAAGCTGCTGAGTCACACTTTACTTTCACTCAGACTCTAGGGAAACTCCCTTAAAATAAATAAATTTAAACCCTAAGAAAGGATGACCACCATGTCCTTTTTAAGTTAGGAAAATTAGGTGGTAAGATAGCTTTGATCCCTCCTATTCACACGGTTCCCTTTTAGTTACTTTGTAGGTATGTGTGGAGATGGCGCCAATGACTGCGGGGTAAGTAGCGGGCAGCCAGAGGGGCCATCGTCCCCCATCAGTCCTTACTTGGAGCTCTTTAGAGAGAATCCCTGCTGGATTACACCCCATTTTGGCTCCGCATGATGGGTAGATGGATGCTGAGGATTTGGGAGGGTTTCACCAAAGCCATCAAGTGACTCTTCAGTGGTCAGGAGAGGGTAAATGAGGTGGGACTAGGTTCTGCACTTCCCTTCTTTAGCTAGGTGGCCCAGTGCCATTTCTTCCTTGTGTGGCAGGCAGGGTAAAGTCTGGATGTCTTCTGGTTGGTGTTGGGGCCCACAAGCCAACTTGGTGGCCAACTCAGTTGGCCTTTTCTTTTGTGGCCTCTGTAGAGATGTGTGGGAGTCTGCATAGGCGACAAGCCAATTCTTTGCTTTCAGGCTTTGAAAATGGCCCATGTGGGGATCTCTTTGTCAGAGCAGGAGGCGTCTGTGGCCTCACCTTTCACTTCCAAGACGCCGAATATTGAGTGCGTGCCTCACCTTATCAAGTAAGTAGCATTATTTTCCCTCTCTTGGCTTTTAGTCACAGATAACACTGTTCCACTGGAAAAGACCAGGGAAACTATGTGTTCCTAGGTGAGGAGGGTGCTCTGCAGGAAAATACAAAAGTTCTGCTACTGCCTAATGGACTCACCAGCAGATACAAATGCCCTTGGTGGAGCATTGCCATTTCTAGTGAAAATCATCAATGAGATTATTTTTAGAGGATTGGAATCAGAAGAGTGCTGCTGATCTGACAGTGTGAATTATCCTCCTGCTTTTAAAGTGCATCTTCTGAGATCTTCTTTTCCTCTTGCCTCTTTCTGCATTTTTGTGGTATCCTTCTCATCCCCAGCTTTCAAAATTTTATTCATTTTTAAAATTTGCCTTGGTGCTTTATCTCCTCCTTCCCCAATATGAGCTTCTGCTGCATTTTGTCTGAAAGATGCAGATAATTAGCATCGTGGCCACTCTTGGTTATTATAGACATCTCCTGTTTATATTTAAAAAGTGATTTAAAGCCCATTATCTTAAAACAACCCGAAGATATAGGAATGGTTATTTCTTTTCTTTTTTTTTTTGGCACTGGGGATTGAACTCGGACCTTGCTCTTGCATGGCAAGCACCAGAACCACTGAGCTAAATCCCTGGTCCCTAGGAATGATTATTTCTTTTGCAAATAAAGAAATTGAGACTCAGAGAATTTAACTGATATGCCCAAGCCTACTCCTTTAGCTCCTTCCATTTTAAAATGTTTGTTCATGTATTTGACAAACATTTATTGAATGGAGACTTAGTACCAGGATCTAAGGGACATAAATAAGGCAATACTTAATGGTTTTGATAAGTGCTATCAAGGAAATAAAAAGGATAGTGTGAAAAATAGTGAGGTGGTTCTGAGGAAGAGTTGGCTGCTTCAGCCAGGGTGACTTGGGAAAACCCCTCTAGGAGAAGAGGAAGGAGAAGACATCACTTTCTGGGCAGCAGCAGAAGTAGCAGCAGCAGCCTGATACAGGAAAAATCCTGGTTGTAATCTCAGGAAATAATTATGACCATAAGTAAATTAAAACTCTATTTTCCCCCAAATGAAGCAGAAAGAAGTGATTTTACAAGTCTCCTATTTTATGCTTTAAATATGCACTATTTTGTCAAAGTCAATCAACAATGGTACAAAGGAACAAATTCAGTGTGTCCAGTCTATTTCAATTGGATGAATGACTCCTTTGAGCATGTGCATAAATTTAGTTTTAGTTTAGAAAAACCTGGGACTGCCAAAATGAAATTGGAATCAAATGTTTGCCAAACACCTGCATGAAGATAGCTCCCAACCTGCCATCTTATTTATATCCCTTGGTTCCCACAGAGAAGGTTGGACGAGGGAAATGACCTTCCCAAGCAGATCAGTATGTAGGTGTGAGTTCTGGGACCAACTCCTGAGTCTACTGGCTCTGAGAGCAAGAGCTGAAGCAAAGCTTGCAGAAGGGACAAGCATAGCTACAAATCTGGGCTCCATCACCAGGTCAAGGCTGTGGACTTCGGCCTAGGGAATTGGTCTTTCCTGAACATCTAGTCACTTAGTGTCCACAGCCCACTTCCATTGCCTCATGCTGTCTGGGCTGTCAAACAAGCACTCCTAGTGTCAGACTTTGGATTGTTTTTCTCCTGAGCTCAGCTGAACAGCACACAATAACTGAGCCGATTTTCCTTCATCACTTTCATTTCATTCCTTTTCTTACACAGGGAAGGACGCGCGGCTCTCGTCACCTCATTTTGCATGTTTAAGTACATGGCTCTGTACAGCATGATTCAGTATGTTGGCGTTCTGCTGCTCTACTGGGTATGACTTGGGACCTAGCCTCTTGTTTAGTGAGGACCAAAGCAGGTGGTAGTTCGTACTCAATTGGCAATGTCTCTTCAAGGAAGGGTGCGTACAGGATACCTAGGCATCAAGAGCCTCCATGCTTCTCAGGAGGCTGAAGCAGGAAGATCACAAGTTTGAGACCAGCCTGGGAAACTTAGAGAGACCCTGCCTTAGAATAAAAAATAAAAAATGTAGGGCCGGGGATTTAGCTCAGTGGTTTCACTGCCTGCTGCACAAGCACAAGGACCTGAGTTCGATCCCTGGTACCAAAAATAAATAAATAAATAAATAAATAAATAAATAAATATTTTTTAAAAATGTAGTAGTTGAGCACTCCTGGACTCAATCCCCAGTACTAGGGGATATACATACGTATATGTATTCTATATATATATATATATATGTCTATGTATATCCTGAAAGGTTTTTTAGTACGTGTTTACAGTATGTAATGATTGCATTCCTTGTGTGGAGTTGGTGCATGCACATAACACATATTAATATCCTTTTTCATTCCTTTTCCCTCCCCTCCCTGCATCTCTTGAACCCCTTCCCATTTGAGAAAGATTTGTGTCTCTACTTTCTATGACTGGTCTTTGATCTTGGTCTTTATAATTTGGGTTTCTCCTTAAAGTTTTATAAGATAAATCAGAAACAGATGTACACAGGAAAATCTGTTGATGTCAATTGTCTGACTCTCTGGCTCAGAAATTCTTTATCTGTGGTAGCCAGAGATCAGAACTGAATGTACTTCTTCCATGCTCCCTGGAGCTTTCATCTGCTTGGACCAGGCCTCCCCCTCCAATACTAGAGTGGCTTTAATCTAGAATACCATTCATAAAAGGGATAATTCTCTACATTGGCTTCTAACCAAGCTTCCCACCTGGCTTTCCTTGATTATTAATATTTGCCAACTTCAGTGGTATAAATACTTTCCCACAGCCAACTTCAAGGTATTTATGTGTCACTAACTGAGGAATAGGAAAGAGATGTACTCTAGCAGGATGCCGTTATACAGTGCTTGCACCATATACATGCAAGAGTTGCAACCTCAGTATGGGTAACAGGGTGTAGGAAAATAATTAGGAAACACTGAGCTCTGAGTATTTATTTACTTTATTTTTAATACAATTTATTTAACAATGCATTTGTACAATTCAATTTTTATGTTGGCTAGATTAAATAATCAGCTCAAAACTTTGCAAAAAGTTTAGCAATTGATTTTCAGGAGTACAAGCCAGTAAACTTCTGGTTATCTGAATATAGGTATTTGGAAATTGGCATATCATGCTACAAAAAATACATATATGTTGTGATGGCTTTTATTATTTAATAGGATATAAAAGGAGAGTTGATGCTTATTGTTGGTAAATCCAATATGTGAGCTTATTCTTAATACTAACATAAAGAAAAAGAGTTTCATTTGTCATGTAGCGATCTAGATTCATCTTTATTTTTTGCTCTCTTTCTCTGAAGCTACAGGTTTTAGTTCTGTTGCTTTCAGATCACCAGTGTGTTTTCATACCAATGGGTGGACTAGAGAAGGGTTGGGTATTAATGGGAATGTGGCTCTATTTTGGAATCTCAATAACTCACTATGCTCAAAAGTCAAATTAAACAGTACTTGGAAGAAGCACATTTCTTGAAGTCATTAACATCTGGCCATTTTTTTCTCAAGAGTATCAATTTGCTTTATTAGGACTTTCTCATATCTCATCTAATAATACTCAAGTCTGTAAGTTGGGTTCAGTTATTCTCATTATCCATCAGTAAAAATAAGGCACAATCACCACGCACTCACCATGTCTTACCATTGGGGATGGGTGCTTTTATTGTGTGAGGTAAACCCCCAGATTTTCTGGTAACAAACAGAAAAAGAGCAGAAGTGGCTGTAGTAGCGGGAGATCTTCTCTTCCTCAAAGGGGACCTACTGGTGCACAAGGACCCCAGCCTGTAAAGCCCTCCTTGCTGGTGAGGTTTCCACAGGCTTGAACCATTGCACAGCACCAGCCCTCACCGAACCACACAGGCTTTTGACCGCATCATCTCCTGGGTAAACTACTTGAATGATCCTGTTTTGTGGTGAGAATATGAATGCAAGTCATGTCAGACTTTATCTAGAAGGTCACAGCTGTTTTGATCTGCTTTTCTTTTCAGGAGACAAACAGCCTTTCAAATTACCAGTTTCTGTTCCAGGATCTGGCCATCACAACCCTCATTGGTGTGACAAGTAAGGCACTTTTAAAACCTTCTTCCTAGAGGTGCTCCTGGAAAGGAGGGAGGCAGCAGGGGAGAGAGGCAAGGAGTCACAGAGCGATCCTCGTGTTTGGTGATAGAAACGCTAGTGATTTTGCTCTTTTCCACAAAATACAGAGCTTCCATAAATGGACATTAAGCATATAAAATGAACAAAGTACCAAAAAAAAAAAACCATTTTGAAAATAAGCAAAGTACCTTGAAGATCAGGAACCCTGACTTCAGAGTGCTTTCAGGTATAGTTGTATTTGGAATGTGCCCAGTTTATAGACACTAAATGGCCTTCATGTTTCTGATTTGCAAATCTTAACCTCTTGGCCCTGAGAATGGACCTTTAATGTAGTCTTTCCATTTTACTCCTCCTACTTCCCACTTTCTAATGAATAAATGAGTTGTCTCTCCAGTTTCCCTGCATAGGGAAATTTTAAATTTATGACATAATTTTCAGACCTATTTTTGGTGCACTTCAAAACTGAGAGGAAGGTGCAGAGATTTCCGATATAGTCTTTCCCCCCAAACATTCATGTCTCCCGCATTAGCAGGATCTCCTTTCTCCAGTGGGGTACATTTGTGACAAGAGACAAACCTACACTGACTCATTAAAATCTCCCAAAGCCAATAGATTACCCTAGGTTCAGTTTTGGTCTTTCCATTTTATGAGTTAGACGTATGTAATATGACAAGCATTCGTGATCATAGTGTCATACTGGGTATTTTCACTTTCCTGAGAATTTTCGCATTCCGCTTATTTATCCTTTCATCCTCCCCATACCTCCTGGCAACCACTGTGACCCTTTCACTGTCTCCAGAGTTTTACCTTTCTCAGGATGTCCTAGAGTTGGAATCATGCATTGACTTCTTTCACTTAGGGACATGCATTTGAGGTTCCCTCATGACTCTTTATAGGATGTCAGCTCCAGTCTTTGTAGTGCTAAGTAATATTCCACTGTCTCTATGCTACAGTTTATCTGTTCACTTACTGAAGGACATCTTGGTGCTTCAAGTTTTGCAATTATGAATGAAGCTGCTGTAAACATCTGTGTGCAGGTTTTTGTGTGAACTTCTCCCCAGCTCCACAGACTTCAGTCTTCAAAAGCAACCACACCAGTTTGCTTTTTCAGCAGCAGTGGATGGGAGTTCCTGTCTTCTATATCCTCAGTAGTGTTTGGTGTTGACAGTGTTCTGGATTTGGGTTATTTGAATAGGTGTTTCTTGGCTCCACTTGTGTTTTCAATCCTACTTCCTCCTACCTTCTCAAGGATTTTGTTCCTGTAGAAATTTTTTTTTCTCAATCATCCAATTATCTCTGGTCTCCTGGCTCATTAGCATCAGCCTATAAGTATGTGTCATATATTCTTTCCTTAAAAACTCTCCCTTGAACCTAAGCCCATCACTAGCTACTGCTCCTTTATTCTTAAACATCTCAGTATTGCATATACTCACTTTCTCCATTTCCCATCTCTAATGATTTTGCCATTCCAGTTCCTTCTGTCACATTCTAATGTCCAAGGGTGTGAATTTGAATGATATACTTGTGTTGTTGTTTGGTCGGAGGCAGTGGTGTGCTTGCTAATGTTTAACAACTAGCTTTCCAGAAAAAAATTTGAACATATATATATATATATATATATATATGTGAGTTTATTATAAATTTTACTGAAAAGATAACTGTGTAATGTGAAATTTACAAATAATAAAAATATGTAATACTCTTTATTTCAAATTGTACTCTGCCAATTGATTCTCACAGAGTGTTTTCATTGAATTTTCCCAAACTCTTGGGTCTATAAAAAAACCTATGGTTGCAGTCAGTGACTGCATTAGGGTCAACATGCATGTTGGTTGGTACCATTCTTTGATTGAATGTGGAAGATAAAAGCCAAACAGCAAAGGCTTGTGTTGAAACTCCATCAGTGACGTGAGCAACTTATTTATTGAAACAGCCAGTTCTTGAATACCAGAGGTATATTTCCTCAGTATTTAAAAAAAATATTCACAATACAATGACTACTAACATGATACATTTTTTATTTTAATGTTAACCTCAAACACATAGGTAATACTAAATATAGTAAAATAATTAGAAAGTTTTGAGTTTTCTTTAATATGTATATATTTACAAGTTTATAGAATTTACTTTTTTAGACTCACAATGAGCATGGTATTTTTTAAAGTTTAAAAAATGTTTAATTTTATTCATACATGTTTGCAGTACACAATGATTGAATTCATTGTGTGGAGCTGGTGCACGCATACAACACATCTTAATTCGTTTTACATCTTCTCCTTCTCCTCTTCCTCCCCCTCTCTCCATCACTTGGTTCCCTTCCCATTTGCAAAAGATCTGTCTCCCTATTCCCTATTGTCTATATTTTATTTTACTCTTTCATTTATTTACACTTCGGGTTTCTCATATAAGAGAAACCCTGTGATATTTAAGCTGGGAAGTTTGTGTTGTATCACTTCACATTATGGTTAATAACATCTGGGTTTAATGACTGCCTGGCAGTTGCAGCAGCAATTGGCCCTTCAGTGCCAGCTCCAGCCATCACCATCTGGAAGGGTACCCATTACTGACACAGCACAAAGGCTCATGTTTTTCATCGCCTCTTCTTTAAGTCTCCTGGTCTTGGTGTCGCATGTTCCCTCCTCAGTCTTCTCATCATAATCTTAAGAGAGATCATGCCAGTTTAGTTTAAAAACTTGTTCCCAAGCTCAAAGGAACACACTCAAGTGGACCAACCGCTGGCTGAACTTCAGCCTCCCCTTCTCTGACACTGCTGTGTCGAGGTTCACCAGTGACTGTCCTGCTACCAACAACAATGGTCCTTTATCCTGCCGTGTTGTACTTGACTCTCAAGAGCACTTTTCCTTCCTCAAAAGGTCTCTCCTTCTGGCTTTTGTGATACCACACTCCTGAATTCCTCTATATCCATACACTCCTCTATATCACTTTAATGGACACAGCTTTACTTGTCCTCTAAGCTTTTGAATATTTCAAAGCTTGTTTTCAGATGCTCTGGTTTTTCATCCTTACCATCTCTCTAAGGGATCTCAACCACTTGAGTGTCATCTACTATATGATGATGAATCCCAAATGAATATCTTTAGCCTTGATGTCTGTCTAGAGCTCTAGATACAGAGCCACTTAACACTTATCCTTGGATATTTAACGGGACTCAAACTTAACATGATCAAATAGAATTCTCAATTCTACCAGATCTGATACTCAATAAAATAACATGTGCTTACTGAGTCCCTCTTGTGTGCTACTTACTGCTTCCTTGAAACAAAAAGAAGATTCCTTTCCTCTTGGAGCTTACATTCTGTTGAAGTAGAACTATCTACATAGTTGTCCAAGTCAAAGATCTGGAGTCATCCATTTTCCCCTTCTCTTCACTCTTTATATCCAACACATAAGAAATTTCTATTGGCTTTGCCTCCAAAATATATCCTGAGTCCCTTCTTTCAATCTTCATTGTAACCATTGTCACTAAACAATGTCACCTCTGTGGGTTTCAAACAACTTCACAACTGACCTTGCTTTCAGTTTTCCATTCCCATCCTTACCCCCTGGACTTTTCACAGTTGCCAGAGTGTTTTGCTAAAATGTAAATAATAGTATGTCATTCTCTCACTTAAAATGCTTCAAGAGCTTCCCATTTCCACTAAATCCGAGTCTTAACACAACTGGGACCTGGCCCGCTGTAGGTGTACCTCTAATCACTTCCCCACTTCGTGCCTGCCATGGTGGCCCTTTTGAACCTTGAGCATGGTCAAGCTGTGGTTAGCTCAGTGCCCTTTGTCCGAAAGACTCTCCCTTTAGAGCTACATGTGGATTAGACTTTTTCCTGTGATTCATTTCTCAGCTTAGATGTCACTACCTCAGAAGATCACTTTAAGTAGTGACCAAGACAGTAATTCTCTGTTGCACAACTCTGCTTTATTGTTTCACTGGCTTTTCCATAATCTGAAATTATGGTATTTATCTTTCTTTTCGCTAGCTTTTTGCTGGCCTCCCTTACCTGGAGGGTGTTCTTCATGAGAAGGGTCTTGATTGCTGGTCTATTCCCAGTACCTGTAACAGTGCCTAACATGCCAGAAGAGCTCATTAGGCATCTGTCAAGTCTACTGAAAGAACACATTTGGACAGTCCCTACTGTTAGCAGGGCTTTCCTTCATGCAAAGTCAAATCTACTTCTGTGTAACTTCATGCACCCTGCTTCAACCATGTGAAGTGATTTTCCCTCAAAAAAGTTTTTTAGATCATTGAAAACACCTCCCATTTATCCTGTCATCTCCAGAACAAGCATCTAGCTCCGAGCTTTTCTCTTTTTCTTAAATAACTTTGTTATTTTCTATTTAGCACACATTAATCAAATATTTTGCTAACATATTCATTGTGAGGAGGATAGAAAACATTGTAAGATACAACAAAGAGAAACCCATTTTATTTTATACTATTATTAAGAGTTAACCACTGAAAGCATTTTGATGACTTTCTTTCCAGTCTTTTTCCTACATAAATGAAGAAATTAGAATTATGTTCTGTGTAGTTTTATACATTGTTTTCTCACTTAAAAAGTTAAAACTATGTTTTAATGTCATTAAATATTTTAATTAATTTCATTGTGGTAACACGCATTACGTAAAATATTACCTCCTCTTTCTTGCTTTCTTGCTTGCTTTCTTGCTTTCTTTCTTCCTTTCTTGGTTTCTTGCTTGCTTGCTTTCTTCAGGCTGTCACTATATAGTTCAGTCTAGCCTTGAGCTCACTGTGTAACCAGGCTAGCCTCAAACTTGCTGTGATCCTCCTGCTTCAGTCTCCTGAGTGCTGGGATTACAGGTGTGCGCCACCATTCCCGGCCTTACTACTTTTAAGTAAATAATTTAGGGGCATTAATTGCATTCACAATACTATGAAGCCATCACCACTATGTATTTCCAAAACTTCTGCATCACCTCAAATAGGTTCTCTGCCTATTAAGCAATTTTCCCTTCTAATCCTTAATGACCTCTACTTTTTGTCTCAATGACTTTGCCTGCTCAACTTATATCACGTAAATAGAGTCAGACAGATTATCTCTTTGCTTCTAGTTTCTTTTATTTAGCATAATGTTCTCAAGGATCAGCATTTTGCAGCATGCATTAGAACTTCATTCTTTTTTATGGCTGAATCATACTCCATTATATGTATATAACATATCTGTTTGTCTGGTGATGAATAGGTTGCTTTTACCTATTGGCTACTGTGAATAATATCATAATGAAGATTTACATAAAAGATCTGGCTGAGTCTCTTCGTTTTCAATTCCTCTGGGTATAGAGTTTAATATTTGAAGAATTTAATATTTGAAGAATTGCTGAAATACTTTCCTAGCAATTACATAATTTCACAATCTCACCAGCAATATGAGGCTTGCAATTTCTTTATAGCCTCATCAACACTTGATATTTAAATCCAAAAAATCATTTTAGCCATGTTAATGGTATTTTATTGAGGTTTTAACATGCATTTTCCTAATAACTAACAATGTTGAATATATTTTCTTGTGCTTATTGGCCATTTGTATGTCTCCTGTGGAGAAATGTTTATTCAAATCTTTTGGCTATATCTTCATTGGATTTTTTTCATTACTGAGTTCTAGAATTTCTTAATATACAGTAATACCTTAGTTCATGAACACTTATGTTCATGAACAATTTGGTTCCCAAACAGAAGCATTCAGCAAAATTTTGTTTCTGTTTGTGAACTTGGCATTAGGTAACAAACATGAACGTGGCCGTCTTCCCCAGCATCGTGGAATGAATTAAGTTTGTGAAACAAGGTACCACTGTATTATGGATATTAAGGCCTTATCAGACATGTGGCTGCAAATATTTTTTCTCCATTCTACGTTCTGTCTTTGCACCTTTTTGATAAAGCTCTTTGACGTAGAAAGGTTTTAATTTTGATGAAATGTAATTTGTCTATATTTTCTTTTGTTGATCATGCTTCTGATGTCATTTTGATGTCATACTAAGAATCTATTGCCAAGTCCAAGATGATGAATATTTATCCCATGTCTCTCCTAAGAATTATCTATCTCTATCTATCTATCCATCCTTTTCTGTGCTTAGGTCATTGACCCATTCTTGTTCTAATTTTTAATGTGGTGTGAGGTATAGAGGTGCAGCCTCATTCTTTTGCATGTGGAAATCCAGCTCTCCTACTATCATTTCTTGAAGAGACTATTTTGCCCCCTTTTGAATAGTCTTGAAACTCATGTTGAATATCAATTATCTCCAGATGTATAACTATTTTTCAATTTCAAATTCTATTCTGTTGACCTGTATGTCTTTCCTGCTAGCAACAGGCTGTTTTGATTACAGGTTTTGTAATGAGTCTGAAATTTGAATTTGGAGTCTTCCAACATTGCTCCCTTTCTCAAGGGTGTTTTAACTATGAAAGCCCCTACAATTCTATATACATTTGAGGACCAGGTTTTCTATTTCTGAAAAAAAAGCTATTTAAATTTTGATGGAAATTACATTGAATCCATGTAGCACCTTGATGGAATTGACATTTTTAACCATATTCTGTCTTCCAGTTCATAAAAATGAGTGGCTTTCAATGTATTTAAGCCCTTTTAAATTTCAGCAAAATAAAAATTTGAATTTTCAGTACACAAGTCATTTTTTTCTTGATGAAGTATATTCTCAGGTACTACCCCTTTTTTGGATGCTATTGAAAATGGAATATTTTCTTAATTTCCTTTTTGATTTTTTCATTGTCAATGTACAGAAGTATAACTGCTTGTTATGTGTTGATCTTGGCCTTGAATCATTGCTAAATTCTCCTATTAAGTATAGTATTTTTCTTGTGAACTCTTTGGAATTTTCTATATACAAAATCTTGTCATCTGCAAATAAAGATAGTTTTATTTCTTTCCAACCTGCATGATATTTATTTCTTTTTTGTTCTTGTCTAATTTCTTAGGGGTAGAACTTGTAGTGCACTACTGAATAAAGTGTTGAAAGTGGACATCCTTGCCTTCTTTATAATCTAAGGGAAAAAGCTCCCAGTATATCACCCTGGAGTATGATAGCTATAGGGTTTTTTTTTATTACATGCTATGCAGTCATGGAGATTACATGTAACAGCCAATCCTTGATGCTCTAGTTTAAACTAATAGTTTAATTTTTAAAAGCATGAAAAAACTGCTCTTTTCTAGTTCTATCTCTCCTTTTATGTTACTGATGTCACAAATTACATCTATATCCATGGTGTACTCAATAACATAAATGTATAATTACTTTTATTATGCACTTGTCTTTTAAATAATGTAGGCATAAAAAGTAAAATTACAAACCAAATATATAACAACTCAGCTTTTATATTTACTTATATTGCTACCTTTATTGGGAATTGTTTTTCACAAGTGTTTGAGTTGTTGTCTAGTGTCTTTTCATTTCCTTTATGTAGGTTTTGTAATAACAAACTAATCCAACTTTCATTTATCTGAGGATTTCTTAATTTCTCCTTCAGTTTTGAAGGAAGTTTTGCCAGATGTAGAATTCTTGGTCACTGGGACTTTTTTTCTTCCAACATGTTAAAAATGTCATCATGTCAACTTCTGGCCTCAGTGCTCTCTGATGAGAAATTAGTGGTCAATAAGTAATGAGTGGCTTCACCCCTAATGCTTTCAAAATTTTCTCCTTGTCTTGGTTTTCATCGTTGAATTATAAGGCCTGGGTGTCAATCTCTTTGGCTTTAACCTTTTGGAATTCTTTGAGCTTATTGAATGTGCACATTAATGTCTTATTGAATTTGGGAAGTTTTCTGACATTATTTCTTCAAATATTCTTTCTTCCTCTTTCTATTATCGCACTTTGAAACTCCCGCCATTTGTGTTAGTCTGCTTGATTTTGATCCACGAGTCCCTTAGACATTCACTTTTTCTATTCATTTTTCTTTCTGTTACTCAAACTGGATCAATTCAAGCCCCATTTTCAAATTCATGGACTCTTTTGCTTGCCAAGAAATGCTTTTGAACCCATTTAGTGCATTTTTACTTCATTTGTTGAACTTCTCAGCTCCAGATTTTCTTTTGGCTCCTTTTAATAATTTCTGTAGCTTTATTAACGTTCTTATTTTGTTTACATGCTGTTGTCCTGCTTTCTTTTAGATTTATTTTTGCCTCTGGCTTCTTTAGTTCTTTGAATATATTTAAGAGTTATTTTAAAGCCTTTACTTAGTGATTTTAGTATATATGTTTCTTCAGGGAGGATGTCTTTCAGTTTATTTTGTTTTGTTGAATATTATAATATGGTAACTGTGGAACTCAGATTCTCCTCCTTCCCCAGAGTTTGATACATTTTTGTTTTGCTCTCCATTAGAAACTGTAGTAGTCTGTTTATTTAGTGACTTTCTCAAACTATTTTTTAAAGTCTTTGTAAGTTTCCATGTATAGTCACTGAAATCTCTACTCCTTTAACTTTTATTTAGGTAGTATTTTGACAGAGATTTCCTTGGACTCTGGATGTAAAAATCAAATGAACGAAAACATCTTTCCAAGTTTTTGCAGATGGGCCCTGAGCTGGGATGCTTATATAACACTTAGCCAGGTTTGCACTACATCTAGAGATTATCTAGAGCTGAAAGTTTAGGGTCTTCTCTGAATATTCATCTTGCCCTGGGCATGTGCACGGCTTTCTATATTTTGCAGTATACACAGGTGTTTTTGAAAACCTTAATTTCTCAAAAAGAAAGCTTTGGTAGTTTTTCCTCCCAGGCATTAGGTGAGTACTTTAACCTTTATTATAATCTTTTGCCCCAAGCAACTGTGGGTTGTTAGATTCTGTTTTCAAGTAATGCTTGTTGCTGCTGAGTGATTCCGTATTAGGTGAAATGGAGATGAGTGATCAGTTCCACAGGAAGCTGGAGGGCAGAGCAGCACAGACACCTGGAGACTTGAGAACAGAGCCTGCTGGGCTTCCCCTGTACGCAGAGGGACCGACTCCCTCCCTGGGAAGCCAGGCTTCATTTTCAAGATTCCTCCTGAGCGGTTGAGGGAGTGAGGCCACAGAACTTTCTCAACATTTTTAGAGCTGACTTCTTGGTTCAGTGTTCACTTTGCTGCCTATTAGCTTTTTTCTGTTTTTCAGATTTCTGGCAAAGTTGTTTCTGACAGCTTCTTCTGCGTGTGTTTCAGTATTTCTCTGGAGGGATGGGAGCTTGGAGCTGTACACTTCCTGTTTTGCCTTTGTCATTCCTCATTTGTCATTATTTTAGAACACTGCTTCATAGTGAATGCGTGTTACTCCATTGTAAAGATGTACATAATTTATTGTAGATCATGCTGTGGTGATTATCTTTCCACATTTTGATTTTTTAGCTTAGGATAAATTTCTTGAAGTGAAATAACTGTCTAAAGCTATGAATATTTTCCATTTTTTCATATTTGTTGTCAAATTTCTTGCAGAAGATTTGGATCAATTTACATTTCCACAAGCAGTGCCTGAGAGGGTGCATTCCACTACTCCATTACCTATTCTTTAATAGTTTTTTCTACTTAATAGACAAAACATGGCATCTTGTGATTGTCTGCTCTTTTAAGAATTTCTCCTGTGACTTGGGTTAAAATCCATTAATTGTTTTCTTCCTTCAGTTTGTGGTGTGTCCATTGCCTCAGATGAATAGGCCAAAGATGTTATGCCATTCTTCTGGTAAGGATTACATTTTCTTGTTCTCATAAACGTGAAACTTGAATTTATTTTGTAGTGAATCTGAATGGTGCCTATCCCAAGCTGGTGCCTTTCAGACCTGCAGGAAGGCTGATCTCCCCACCTCTGCTGCTCTCTGTCATCCTCAACATCCTTCTCAGCCTGGCCATGCATATCGTGGGCTTTGTCCTGGTTCAGAAGCAGCCCTGGTACTCCATGGAGTTGCACAGGTACCATGAAAGCCTCAGTTCCACCCTCACATTCTAATTTCTCTCATCTGGCCAACACGAAGAGTAGCAAATGAATTTTCATCTTGCCAAAACTTTTGGCTTCCTTAAGTCCTTTGGTTCAACTTACAACACTTCTTTCTTCTCCTTACACAATTTAATGGTATCATTTATTGGCACATGTCTTTGCCTGGGCTGCATGATACTGACCAGTGACCATCTATTATATTTAGGATGGCCAGGGATTATAGTTTGCTTTATCTGCCCCAGTTTGAGCAGCCCAGATTAAGTGAAATTATTAATGTTTTTCCTTTGTACAACTGTCCTTTTCAATGACAAGTTATAGAGTCACTCTACTTATGAATTATCAGAGATCATAAGCCACTCAAGGAAAGAATCGTAACTTCCTCATCCCTTTATTATATAGCTTTCAATGCACATGATGGGTACACAATGTGATGAATAAATAATTGGTTGAATCTATCTGTCTATATATCCAAAATATAGGTAAATCTGTGCTTGATTTTTTCTTCCTTGTTTTTTCAAAATATTCATTACCAAAGTACAGGCAATTTAGAAATGTCAAGTGCTTTCTCTGGACACTAGCATTGAGTCTTGTGGATACAAATGCTTCCTAAGATCTTTTCATCTTATTTCATTAATTTTTTGTTTGTTTCCTTTACAGTCCCTGCACAGTGCAAAATCAAAATGCCTCAAAGTTAACCATTTCTCCAACTGCTCCAGAAAAAACTGGAGCGAATAGTCCCTATACAAGTTTTGAGAACACTACTATATGGTTCTTGGGAACAATCAACTGCATTATTGTGGCTCTTGTATTCTCTAAAGGAAAACCATTTAGGCAGCCCACCTATACAAACTGTGAGTAGAATTGTGTGAGACCAGAGGTGAGAGATCATTAGAGAGAACAGATCTGTGCAGACCATGCAGGAAGCAGCTGTCGAGTTGGTTCTCATCTTGTGTCTCCTGACTTCCACTCGGAGCTCTGTAAAACACCTTCTGCTGCCTCATTCTCATAGCTTTTTGCTCCTTCCTTCAAAGCGGCATTAAATATGAAGGTTACTTTCTCCCTCCCATATCTTCACCAGAAATTTGTCTTTAGGTGACGTTTCTTGGGACAGTTAGGAAGATGGACTTATTGTTTTAGTACTTGTCCAAATTATCCTGAGAGTGGTGAGGAGAAAGGTCACAGTACACAGTTGGAACCTGTCTCCTGTCATGAAGATGGTGGTCAGGATGGCTTTGTGTGGCGACCATCCTGGAGGTGCTTGCCTAGAGAGGATTATGGACGGTCTTGGCTAAAGGATCTCTTATCTTCTTATGTTCTGGGGTGGGGAGGTGTATTAGGAGGAGAAGTAGTCCCTCATTTAGTCTCTGGATCATGTTTTTGTATACTGTCACTGTTCAACTAGTTGAGATAATTCAGAAACACAAGTTGAAGAATCTGCATCCTCATAAAAATTTGTTGGCTCCGGGGATATTATTTTGTCCCTAGCCTTCTTAGGATAAGGAAGCAACCAGATGCTGCTGACCTCTACATAAATACAATTAAAATTGTATTTATTTGCAGTCTTCATTTTTTTGTTTTTCCAGAAAAGGTTTTGAGGCAGATGATTTGTACTAAAGAGACTGAGGTACTCGGATGTCTTCAAAACACTTATGAAAAATGTCCTTTTCCTGTTATTCTCTCTATATTTACCACTTTTATTAATTGAAACTGATAACATTCATTTGAAAGTTTCTGCTTGTGGCAAGGACATGTATATAAATTGGAAAAGTGATATGCATTGCAGAGAAATGAGTGCTTTCCATCTATTCTGCTGTGTTTGGATTTAGAAATCAAGTAAATTTAATCAGTGTTAATCTAGGGTATGTCTGTCAACAGAAGTGACACTTCATATTCTGATTTCTTGCAATGATAGCTTGTGTTCTTATTTCCTCAGATATATTTGTCCTTGTGGTGATTATACAGCTGGGCGTGTGTTTATTCATTCTATTTGCCGATATTCCGGACATGTACAGGCATTTGGATGTAAGTCTCATCTCTGGTATATTACGATGTTTTACAGTTTTGTGACATGCTAACTTCAAAAAGCAAGTCACACTTGCCACTGACACAGGTATCCGACACCAGTGATGAACTTTGGTGATGGCTGAGTTTAAAAGAATGGTGAATTCAAATCCACTTTTTATTTAAATTGACGCGGAAATAAAATTCCATCCAGTCTTGATTTCCTGAGACTAAAGAGAGCCTTTGAAAAACATTGAACACTTTTCTTTTAAAAGATCCACTATTAGAATGGGGAAAAAGAAACTATTTACATGTTCCTCTTAGAAGCTGTTTAAAGCAGTTTTGCCCGTAACACATTGTCGGTTAATTCTCAAATCTGTATTAACATTTTTTACCTTTTTAAAAGCATATTTTTCTGTACATTCATGCTTAATGTCTGAAAGTTTACTCAAAGGGCGCACTCTCTTACATTTTGTAATATTGAGACAACTTTGAAACCCTACCATATAGGCACAACTCTACATATTCAAGCAAGGCAAAAGCATGCATTTTGGTTCCTCTAACCTATTTATTTTTGAATTAAAATATAACCATTGCTGAATGCCCTTTACACCAATAAACACAGTACAGAAGAGGGGACTAAAGAAATTGAGCTTTCTCAGCTTTGTGCTTTGAGTATCTGCTTTCCATCTCAAAGATAAGTTTTAAAAGGGCCAAGATGAGGCCTCATTCATTCTTATTTTACCCTTCCTTGCACATCAAATGGCACAGAAGGGCAAAGAAATGACTGGCGAAGAGCATGCATTAGGTTCCTAAATACAGAGAAGCAGTTATAGCTTACAGTGCGGTTTAAACCAGGAAAACCTTCACAAGCTCACAAGGACATTGAGCCTGCTAACAAATATCTACATTCGTTTCTTTCTTTTTATACTTGTATTACTTTGGCTAACAGTGTATTTACCATTGTTGTTCAGAGGCTTCATTAATTAGAGTAGCTTCTCGTGGAAATAAATAACTTTGCCTGATGCTTAGAACGTCTTAACGTGGCAGACATTAAAGTTAAGCCACGTTGGGTTTAATTTGCTCTTTAGTATCTGCAAACTCTACAGAGTGACTGGATGCTCTCGTGTAACAAAGCAGGGAACATTCTTGGTTGTTGGGAGCCTCCATGGACTCACTAACTGAGGGACACAAAGGATCCTGCGAAAAAGAATTGTACACATTTTTAAATAATCATGTTTGTTCTTTTCATATACAAATATGAGTTCACTTTAGAAAATGTAGAACATTCAGGCAAAAAAAAATATATTACTGCATTCTTCAGTCTTTTAAAATTCATATGTTATAAATGTGTATTGACTAATTTATGAAGTTTATTTCATTTTAAATGAAATCCTGCTGTTTTGCCGCCTAGATATTGCTAACTCTTAAAAAATTATATTAATTCACTTAGTAAGCATATATTAATGTGGTTTAAATTAAAAAATTAAAAGTTAGTGAAAATCTCCTACCCATCAAAGCTCTTCTCTGGGGTCAGTTGGTGACACCAACTGATTTGAAGTACTTCCACATTTATTTCATACCTATGTACAGAAGTATGTATATAGCTCCTGTGTGTGTATGTCTCCCACTTTTTACATGAACAATGACAGCTATACATTTGTTCAGTGTTCTGAGATGTCGATGTCAAGGTGGACTGCATTGTGCAAGAGATTATTTGGAGGAGATGCTGTGGGGAAACAGTGTAGGAAGCCAGGGCAGGTGGGGAAAGGTGTGACACTGTGATGTGGGGCTGACCCTGTGTAGGAGAGAGGCAAGGAAGGAGTGCTGGGTGAGCAGAGTCCCCGTCTGCCCTGCAGTTCTAAGAGCTGAGCCAAACTTGCCTCTCACACATGTCTGCCGTCTCACCAGAGTGACTCTCATGAGAACCCCAGCTGTCCTCACTTACAGACTTTGAGCTGCCCATGAGAAGCAGGGCTTTGGGGTGGACGTGGTGGTGATCATGAGCATAGCAGTGAGGCTATCTGTTATTTATCTTCCCAGCAGCAGGAGATCTGAATGGAACATTTTCATAGCTGCATGTATTTATTTTCCCAGCAGCAGGAAATCTGAACGGAACATTTTCGTGATTGCTACAACCACATACACAGTCCTGCACCTTGCTTCCTGTGTGTGGCAGTATATTTTGGTACTTGTTTCATATCCGCACATAATTCTGCCTCACTCTTTTTAAGGATAACACACTATTCTATTCTATTTATTATATTACATGGTGTATGTCATGCATATACAATACTTTATACGTTGATAGACATTTAAAGTTTTTTTCCCAATTCTTTACTATTATAAATAAAGATGCAGTAAAATAACCTTATTCATACATAACAGCATTTAAATATATCATCTCCGTCATGCACATATATAGTTCTGGGATGAATTCCTAGAAATGCATTTGAGTTTTTAATTTTGAGAACACCATTCTCCATAGACTTTCATCAGCTTTGACTCTCACCAGTGTATGAGGCAATGTCCAAGATGGTGCTGGGTAGAGAAGAGTGGACTTGGCTTTCTCCATCCATCCATCCATCCATCCATCCATCCATCCATCCGGCCTATATATCAGGCATTGTCCCTGGGCAAAGGCTGAGGAATACAAAGAAAGCGGGGAAAGTGACAGGTGGTGACGAGCTTCTATCCAGCCCCACTTGCTCTTTTGGCACGTGTCCCTGTGAGGGCACAATCTGAGTAGCTGTGCTCACCGTCTACAGGGTGAAGCCCCGGCTCAGTGCTCAAAGGCAAGACGTGGTACTGAGGAGAGATACGGTACTGGAGACAGAAGGGCAGCCCTGTCCAGTGTTCTGTTTTGAGACATGTGTCTCAGGGCCACTCGGGAATAAAGCCACAGGCCTGCTTTCCCTCTTCAAAAGGAATCAAAGCAAGCTGACAAAAATGTTTTTATTATTATTTATTTTAATTTTAAAGTGACCAAAGTTATTTTAGGAGATTTGGAAATTATAGAGATGTGAGAGAAAAAGGAAGAAAGAAAAAAAGAAAGAAGAAAAAAGCAGATGTGAGAGAAAAAGGAAGAAAGAAAGAAAGAAGAAAAAAGCAAAAATCATAATCCCCAAATCATTGGATTTATTCAGTATAAATTTTCCAAACCTTTTTCTATATAAATATCCATGAACATTCTTTATATGTGTGTATACATGCATTCATGCATATATGTACACATACATATATATGCATTTTACATGTGATTTATGACCTATGAAAATGTGCACTGTGAAGATGTGGTCATTTTCCAGCATGTATTTGTTCTTAGACTAACTGGGCTTTGTCATCTCTTTCCAGCTGCTCTGTACTCCTACCCTGTGGAGGGTCTACATTGTCATCATGCTGAGCTCCAACTTCCTCGTGTCCCTGTTGGTGGAGGTATGTGCCTCAGGCTTCTGATCGCTGTGTGACAGTGGGGAGGCTCTGAGGAGTGTGAAACTGTAACAACTTTAGTGGACAAATATTCGACACTGCAAGTGGCTCCCTGCCTTCAATACTGGGACCAATGTGCTTTGCTCTGATGAGTTTCAAACAAGCCATTAGCTTTCTCATCTGTAAAGTGGGGCCAGGGAGAATGGAATTATGATCTTTAAGATCCTAATCATTTCTAAAATTACCAAATAGAGACTCAAACACAAATCACATTTTAAAACCTGTGATCTGATTCATGTATCAGTCAGCTCTTCCATCACTGGGACAAAAATACCCAGCACCAGCAACCTAAAGGAGGAGAGGTTTATATTGGCTAACAGTTTCAGTGGGTTCCATCCATGGTTGGCTGGCTCCAAGGCAGAAACAGCATGGTGGGAAGGCTCAGCAGTAGACAGCTGCTCATGGCATGGTGGCCAGGAAGGAGGGGGTGAGACAGAGGACCCAGGTCATGCCCCCAGTGATCCTTCCTCTTCTGACCAGACCCACCTCCAAGCAGCACAGTCAGTAATGAACTCATCAGTAGACCACTGCTGATTACAGTGTGACCATGATCCAGTCACCTTCCAAAAGTTCCACTTCTGAAGATGAGACTTTTGGGGGACATTTTAGATCTAAACCACAATTCACGCACTATGAAATTTTCCTTTTCAATGTATATAATTCAGTGACTTTTTAGTGTAACACTGAATTGTACAGTCATAAATTCCATCTACTTCTGAAACATTTTCATCACCCCATAAGAAATCTTGTACCCATTAATAGTTTCTTTTCATCTCTCTCCTCCCTCCATTGGGTGAATAACAAAACTCAGCTAACAGTAGCTTAGACAGTAAAGGCATTTATTGACTCAACAAGAGGAGGGAAAGTATGTGGCTTCAGGACTCAGTGATGCTGTTAGGGATCAGCATCTTTTTGCCTGTATTCCCAGCATCCTTAGATGCGGCCTTTCATGCTTGTGCTTGTTGTTTGTGGTGCTCCGACAGCTTCCACATAGCCCTATGATGGAAATGTTTTCATGCAGGAAGGAAGTGAAAGCCAAGGTGGCAGTAAGCTTTTATTCCCTCAAATCTGCATTTTTTAATTAGGAAACTAAAATTTCCCTGGAGCCTGATCCAAGACTTCCTTTTATGCTTCATTGGTTTGAAGTGTCTTTGTGATGCTGAGTAGAGGAGGATTCTGGGAAAGGGAATCCATGCCAAAAGTTAGACAGATGGACTTAGACTATTTGTTTTCCTTTCAGGTGGACAGGGAAGAATTTAGGGAATGAGCCCTAGGGTAGTCAAGTATCAGAGTCTTCTTAATCACCTGAAAGGAAGCCCTTCCCAGGTTTGCATGTCTTTAGTGAAAAGCACAAGCTCCATTAATTCACGTGGATCTGAATCCTGTCTCCAGAACTTTCTTACTGTCTGCTTTTTGGGCAAGTTACTGTATTTCTCTGTCAAATGGTGCTGGTGAAGGCACCTTACCCCATAAGGCTATTTAGGCCTAAAAAATGAACAAGGAAAACATACAATAGATATTTAAAATTATAAGCCGTCACTTTTCCAGTATCTCTTGTGGCACTTACTACTTCTTACTTGTATCTATTGATCTTTCTGTCATTCCTTATTCATTCATCTTTCCACAGGCCTTTGCTTCCCATGTACTGTGTCATAGGCTACTATGTCTGGGGAAGAAAGATAACAGAGGAATGGAGCTTACAATCTCCAGCGAGAAAGAGGATATCTTAGTTACTTTCTTATGGCTGGGACACATTACTTGACATCCACAACTTAGAAGAGGTTTATTTTGGTTAATAGTTTACAGAGGGTTTAGTCCATAGTTGGCTGGCTTCAGGGAAGGGTGGCATGGTACAGGGGCACAGCAGAGAAGAAACAGTTCAGGGCATGGCAGGCAGGAAACAGAGAGGGGTCATGGAGGAGGAGGGACACACCCTTCCAGGCCACGCCCACAGTGACCCACCTCCCAACATCATATCCAGCTGTAAAACCATCAGTGGACTAATCCAGTGATGAGTATCATACACATGACCCTGTCACCTCCCAAAAGTCCCATCTATGAGGGTTTGAGGGACATCCAGATAACAGAGAACAAGTGTTACTTATTTTTACAATATTAAATGATGCTGGCAAGAGCTCATGTTGGAGTGTACTGCACCTAAAGCCCTGCTGTATTCTAGTAGTGGGTGAGTAAATTTTTATTCAGGTATTAAATATAAGAAATGACCCTGCCCATCACCAGCAAATAGAGAGGGTAATTTAATGTCATGAAAACCAGTTTCTTTGTTTTTCATGTTGAGCAAGAAATAGAGATGTACTCATGAACATTTAGTGTTTGTTTCCAGTGGCTTTTAAATTGAAAAGTAACATAGAAGGATACCGACCCCAGTGCCACGTCCCTCAACTGCCACCTCCAGCCACTCAGAGTTCCATTCCCTGAAGCTTTGGTGAAAGAGGCTGCAATTGAGAATTCCAGACACTTTTCCCCCTTCATGCAGTGAGCCGAGCCGAGCAGGAAAGACCAGCTAATCCTGAGCAGGAAGGATGTTTTCCCTGGATGGCTCTGGGGACATGTATCAGAGGATACTAAGGCTTTGTGGGAAGGGCTGTGTTGATCCCACGCTGTAGGGCCAGCCTGTGACACAGGTAGCCCACAGAGGTTTCGAAGAGTAGGGCCCACCTCCTTTTGCAAAATTCTGACTCTCGTCAAGTTTGCTGAGGTAAAACTCTAACCCCAACCCAAATCAGCCAGAAAATAAACCGCTTTAAATGAGACCTTGCTATGCCCAGTCTCACCATCTGTCTACCGAAATGGTGGGAGCTAATGTGGAGGGCTCTAATGATTCCCATCGTTTTTTACTACTTCTAAGTGTGTATGTGTAAGTATATGAGTATGCATGGGCCACTGGAGTGGCTAGTCAGAAAAGCTCATGTAGAGTTTTCCTAAGGAATAGAATCTCCTGCAGGTTTTCCTTTGGTTTCCAGCCCTGCATGTAATTTACAATGTAGAATGACAGGATGGTGCCCTCTCAGTGCTCCCATTTCCCCTTCCATACCAGCAGCAGGGTGACAACCTTATCCCAGCTCTAAGGAGAATTCCATTTCTCTTTAAAGGAAGGGGACAAAACCCTTTGTTGTGAGAAAGTAGAATAACAGGTCCAGCCAGGTGAGCCCTGAGGTTGGCAAGAAGCTGATGCTGGCCAAGTGGGTCTTCAGCAGGCTGCCAGAGGATGGTTACTTTTCAGAGAAAGATTTGAGCTATTCTCTGTTCTTTCCATGGCAATGAAACTCAAACAACAAAGATCGGTGGATTTTAGGAAAATTGTTATCTATTGTAAAGTTCTTTTAGAATCCCATGAATTAAACTCTTTCTATGTAACAAAGATGCTACTGTTGGACATCAAAAGCACTCTAGTTCTGTGGGACAGCTTGGATCCTCATGTTTTTCTCCTGTTTCTTTCATGGTAACATTTAAGGTGCTCAGCTTTTGTGACCAACTGTGATTAAAATGGAAAATTAATATGCTAACCTCTCATGTACTCTGTACTGTAAATTATAACTTGGGCTGTGTTCAAGGCCTGGTCTAACTCATGAAATGCAGTGGTAGTCCAAAATGTGTCTAGAGATGCATGTGTTTTTTTAAATCTTAAAATGCATTTCAATGAAGGGGAAGGTTGGCGGCATGTGCGAATGAGGCGTGCTCTGTTTCTTCAGTGAGTCGTTCAGAAATGTATTATGCCTTGCCCTGCGTTGTATATAATCCTCACAACAAACTCAAGGAGAGGATTATCATTTCTAACCACCGAGACTCAGATGGGGTCATTAATTTGTTCATAGTAAGTGTGAGAGCTGAGATCTGAATCCAGCTCTAACTCAAAGAAGTGGAGGCTACGGTTCCAGTTGCACTGACCCGTATCCAGGACTGTGGGGCGACACAGCCAAGACAGCACAAATGTGGCCCAAGCTTTTGAAGAGGTAATACTATTTGGTGGCATTTTAAAATGTCATGTCATAGTAAATCAAATATGGATGTGATATGGTACTGGATATGGAATTTGAATGATTTTAAATTCACATGTAAGATTCAAAAGAAATTTCATCTTTGAGATAGGCCACCTCCAGCTTGATGTCCAGGTGCTGGAAATTATTTCTTCTTCTCCCAGAAGAGTTACTTAAGTAGGAAAGCTTGAGGCACCAAGACCTGTGCCCCGAAATCACCCTGGATCTGTTCAGGGCTCAAGTTCTCTGTCAGACTGGGTCCAAGCAGATAATGCAGAGGCGCGTGATTAAGACTTTTGGAGTGCCGTAGCCTCCCAGCACTTGACTTCCAAATGTAAAAAATAACTCTTTATTTTGCAGGAGGCTATTATTGAAAACCGAGCTCTGTGGATGGCAATCAAAAGATGTTTTGGCTATCGATCAAAAAGCCAGTATCGGGTATGGCAGAGGAACTTGGCAAATGATTCCAGCTGGCCCCCGCTCAACCAGGTCTCCTACTCTGAAGTGCCGGGGTGTGGCAGGGCAGTGTCCTACAGCAATCCCGTGTTTGAGAGCAATGAGGAACAGCTTTGAAGGAAGCAGTTGATCCGACAGAGAAACAAGGGAAAAAGGACCTGACTGCATGATGTTAAAGCAATGGGGCTCTTACAATATCACCTGGACTTTCAGGGCTGCCTAGCAAATCACAGTGACAAAATTAAAGTCTGTTTGATAAAATATTTCCTAAGAGAAGAACACTGCCCCCAGAAGAGTGGTTTCCTCTTAGCTTCCAAATGTATTGGAGGAAGCTACTGAACCGTGAGCGGGCTAAGGACTGCAATGGGCCAAGAAATTGGGAAGCAAAGGGAGGAAAATATGTACTTTCTTTTTGTTTTTGTTTTACTTTGTTTTTTTTCAGTGCTGGGGATTTGAGCATGCTAAGCAAGCACACTGTAACCCAGAACCACACGGCCAGCCCATGTAATCTCTCATTTTGGGATAACCTTCTTTCTAAATGAGTTGAGGGGAGTCATACTAGGCATATGCATAGAATTGTAACATGTTAAAGATCGCTGTGAAACTTTTACTTCACTAATGGAAAATTAATTCATGGGAACCATCACATCAAGTTTCGCTGTCTGGTTTCCTTTCCTTGGTGGTACTTTTCAGGTTTGAGGCTTTTTCTTCTCTTTCTGTCCTTCCCTTGCATATTATTAAGGATAAACTCAGCCTATGCTACAATAACAAACTCTTAGCTCAGTGTCCTCACACACTAGAGTTTTCTTGCTCCAGGTTACTCCAGGACAGCTGTCCTCAGAGCAGCGATTGCTTTGGTCTGAGGCTCCATTACCTCAGCCCAAGAACTCTGTGTGTAGCACGGCAGGGAAGGAAGACACTGGAGACCACACGGATGACCAAGTGACACCCTTGTCTGCCCCCGTTCTGATCTCATAGGCAGGGATTTAGCCAAGGAGCTGGGACATGCAGACTCTGGAATGGAGGGCCGCTTCACAGGGATGGGACCCGGGACTACAGTGGGTCTCCTGCTTACCAGGGCCTCACACATGGTTTAATGCTCTGCTCATTCTGTTTTGCAATTCTGAACAAAGGTAGCCACATTTTTCATTTTACAGCAGGTGCCACAGGTGTTACCAGGTACCATGCGCACCACCAAGTAAAGATGATGGAGTTGTCTGGCTTGTATTTTACACTAAGAAAGCAAAGTGGCGTATTGAGGAGTGCTTGGGTTGTCTGCTGGTCTCTTCTCCTGACTCTGTGTTCTCCTATGTTTCCTCTCATCTCACATGCCCAACTCCGGCTGTTTTCACGGATGCTCATGGGGAGGTGGGCTGCAGAGCAACATCCCAACTCCTGGTATGGTGTGGAGCTTCAGATTTGGTGGCTTTGTGCCCTAGGAGGGAGCTCCTGATGGAGCTAAGCATCTAGCAAAGATGCACAGAGTGAGGAGTCATGAATTCCATATGGACAGCTGGAGGAATATTTCAGATGCATGTATTTTCTTAGAGATTTTTGAAAATTTTTGAGTGAAAAAGGATGAGAAAGCATCTTACATGTAAGTGCAGAGCTACCTGCCACAAATACTTTGCTGAGCAGGACTTGGAGGAAAAGAGGACATAGTTTCATAATCCACATTCCTTGGGGGATCCCCTGTGTGCTGAGCCCCAGGTACCCAGCTCTTACATACAGAGGCACCCTGACTATGACCTCTGCCCTCTAGATGTAAGGATCAGAGAACAGGATAACTCCGTGTTCTGAGGTGTTCAAAGAAGTGTGCCTTTACACACCGAGGATGGGAAAGGGATTATTTATTCAGAACCCTGTATTTAGTTAACGTTATAGTAAATTATTCTGCACAAAAGAGGCAGGTGAAGTCTATAATCCCATTTTGTAAAATCTACCTCTCTTTCTCTCTACATCTCTCTTCTCTCTCTCTTCCTCCCTCTCTCCCCCCGCCCCCCTTACTCTAACAAAGTCGTATGGTCTACTCTAGTAATGTTGAATCAAAATAACATCTTTACAAAATTCCGGGCATTTACTAACACTACAGAAGGCATTTTTTCTTATTTCCTGCTTTATATACAGGGCTTTACCATTTACAAATACTTTTATACTCATTCTTTCATTTTAGCCTCAAAATGATTTTAGGAAGAAAGCAGGGCAAGGACAATGATCCTCCTGTTTTAATGTGGTGCCAGACCCATGTCTTGGCAACTTGGCAAGGACACATAGCTAATGGGCAGAGGAGATGGCTCAGATGCAGGTCCATCAGCAAGTTCCCCTGCTGTGTCATTCTTCAATGTTGTTTTCTCCTAAATGAAAAGTTTGTAGTACTGAGAAACAAGCCCACAGCAAGGCAGCTATCTACTGCAAATGCCACCATGAGTATAATTTCCCCTGGAAAGAGTTTTTAGTTTCTCATAGAAGTTCCCCTGAACCTGACCATCAGTCACATGAAAGGTTAACTCCCACAGCTGAGGGAGTAAAACCATAATACTAGAGTCCTGTGAGTCTATTTCATGTGATCAGATAAAGCTCTGGTTTCTGACTACAGCATCCAGAAGTAGAAACTTGTATTTCTGCTTGAAATTTGTCTGGCCCCTGCTCTGTACAGCTTTCCAGAGTCGTATAGATTCTCTTTCGGCTTTCAACTATGTTCCCTCCATATGCATAAAAAAATGGAAAGCTCCTGTCTCATACAACATTCAGTCTGCCTTTTGGTTTCCATGAGACTTGTTAAAGTGACTATGTAAACTTTACCAATAAAATGATTTTTCTTCCAAACTGGACAAACATACAAATAAGGACAACAGGACACAGCTGGGCTGGAGGTGCTGGGAGTGAGTCCCCAAGGTTCCCAAACTCCCAGAGGCTATGGTTTCCCCAGGAAGATCAAATTGGCTGCCTTCTCTGCCCTGATGCTCTGCCCCTCCAGCCCTGTGCTCAAGGCTGATTCCTACTTCAGATTTCGGCTCATTCACTGCTTCTTCCAAGGAGTCTTCCCTGACCACTTTATCTCATGTTGCCCTTCCCCACTAGCTTGGGTCATTTCTTCAATCTTACTTCTGCAGCTTTTCAGGTAATCGAGGTTTGAAAGGAATTGCTTGTGTAAGATCACATCCTTAGGAAATTGGTGAGCTGAGTCTAAAACCTGGGACTACTGACTTCTAAATCAAGGTTCTTTGTAGTCTTTATCCCTGGCTAGATTAGTGAACACATTAGTGAATCCACTGAGAAGAAGGATGCAGAGCATTATAGAGCCTTATGCATGGTTGAATGAAAAGCTCTCAAGGAGGCATCCAGACGCTCACAGCTGTGTTTTCTTGTTCTCCCCTCTGTCTTGACTCCCCCTCCTCCATGTGGCAGCTCCACGGACATTCTGATGAGTCACTGTCCTATGATAAAGGCTGACTTGGAGACTGCTGAGTTGGAAGTCAAGTTAAGGATTGTTAGACTGCAGGGAGGCCTCACATAGGTTGTGTGTGTTGCACTGTGCAGCCCCGGGAACACCATCCACATTGTATTGTCAACCCAAAGTGGTGTCACCACAACACAGGTACACAGCGAAGAGGGCCTCCTGCCCAGTTTCCAGTCAGTTCTTCAGTCCCCAGAAGGACCCTTTCCCGGACATGTCTCTCATGCAGAACCTTCGGTTCTGCAGGCCCTTGGTTACCACCTGGTGATTACATGAGCTTCTTCACTGCTCTCCCTGGCTCAGGTCTCTCTTTTCTCTTTTCTTCTCAAGGTCTCTCTGAATTCTATCACCCAAATCTGATGTGATGTCCCTGGTCAGAAATCCTTAATACTGCATTCTAAATGATCTACCACAAGAAGTCCACGTTGCTTAGTAAGGAATTCGAGTCCCTTTGCCCTGGCTACATCTAGTCTCAACTCAGACTTTTCCCTTTTTGCAGTTTCCACTGCAGCAATTAAACCTTCTATTATTGCTATTTTTCTTCCATGATACTTTTGCTCATGTATTCTCTCTATTGGGGCACCAATCATTCTTATTCTTATGTCCATACAGCCAACACTTCCTATTTCCCAATATCCAATTAAAATGCCACCCACTCTGTTAAGCCAAGAGGAAGAGCTCCTGCGCCTGCCTACCTACCACACTCTCCCCAGCCATCTCGTGCAGCTCTTAAAACCTTGCATTGCGGTCATATAGTGCTTCAACTGCCCTTGCCTCCCACCCACCTCACTTGGATAGCGAATACATTTTTTGAAGGGAGGATTGAGAGTGAGTCATTTCAACTTCCTATTCTGCACCTAGCACAGGGCCATGCTTAGGGGCTCAGCAAGCAGCTGTGACATGATTGAATAAAAAATATAATCACTGGGATATCTCGTCGATTTGTCTTCCTTTGTCTGTGAACATCTGTTTTCTATCCAATACAAAGAAGCTTCACTCAAACAATAGTGTTATGAATAAAAACAACCAGAAGTACAAAGTGTAATGATTACAATATTGTGTGTAGTCAGTTTGCCTGTCCATTTATATAGTGAGAGTGTGGGCACATGGTGTGGAATTAGAAGAGTTAGGTGCATGCTACAAAGGCTATCTCAATGTCTTTGCTTCTTTCAATGTCATGCTTCTTTTATGAGGATGTGAGGACTTTCATAGGGAAATGCCCCAAGGGAAGAGAGTTGAGGCAAATGAGCTTGTTTAAAAAACAAGAATTGGTTATGAGGAAACAGAGGTAAAATTGGAGTACAACATGGGGGTTTATTTTTTCTTCTTTTGGTGGTTTCATCCTTCTTTTAAGTTCATTTGCAAAGGTCCAGAGAAAAAAGAGGTACAATGGAAAGAGGGATAGGCATAAAGATAGAAAGGTAGCTGGGTGAGTGAGAAAAGTGCATCTGGGAACAACTTCAGGCTAAGAGGAAGATAACTGCCCTGACAACCAACATGGAGGAACATGAAAGCTGGCCTCACAACACACACACACACATCCTCTATGTCATGTGTGCTCTGTATATCATAGTGTAATAAAAGCAGGGTGGAGGGAATCTACCCATGACTCTGTCCCCAGGCAGTGGCATGAATATGAGAACACAGGTGCAAAATGCATGTTGTTAGTGGCTGGTGATGTCACATGGAGATACATTTGTGACACAAAGAGTCTGAGTATGTCTCCAAGTAGCTAAATTAGGAAAAAAGAAGTGGCTAAGGGAGACAGAGAATAGCTGAGGGTGACATAAAGTGGCTATGCACCTCACAGAGTCCTGGGGTCCCCAGAACCCATCTCAGAGTCAAGCAAGGTCCACAGAAGACCAGCTATGGAAGCTACAGACACCATCTCAAAGTGGTGAGTCATGGACATCTACCACAGGAAGGAGGAGGGAAAAACATCTTGTAACCAGGAACACTGCATGCTGTATCACAGGTTGGGGACATCTGTGACCTTCTGAGTGACTCAGGAGGGACTACAGAGTGCTGGGACTTCTATGGTCCTGTTTTTGACTACTGTCTCAGGTTTGTGTGGCTGAGGGAACATAGGTTATAGATTGTAGGGAACAGGGAAAGGGGACATTACCAGAATCCTTGCAGTGGGTCCTGGCCTCCTGTGAGCCAGGACAGCACAAGGCAAATTAAAGAACAAAGACAAGAAACGAGACTTAGAGAGGAGGCTGGGTTCTGAGCCTGATCATTGCTGCTCTGGGCAACAAAGATGAAGGCACCCAGAGTTTGCCACTATTTATTTGGTTCATAGAAAATTACAGATGACTTAGAGGGTGGCGATAATCCTAAATTGACAAGGATCTTATAATCAGAGGAAGTATCAGGTGTCTTGGAGGGTGGCGGTAATCTTTTGACCATAAGGATCTTGTGCTGATAAGTATCTTAGGTTGATAAGAAGCTTATATTGAGCAAAGATGACCAAAGGCATTCTTACAACCATAGGTGGGATGAGTTAAGCTGATAAGGAATTCGTCCTTCCCCAGGTGAAACCTTTCTCTTACTACTTGGTTCTCAAGGAACCAGGATATCTTCAGCTGATGTAATCTTGCCCTTGAGTAGCACAGCATCATGGGACCATTGAGGTCTCAGTTACGACTGGAGGCAAAAATGGAGTTATGTTTTGGCATGTCATAGCTGGCCTGTAGGCAAGAAGACTAGGCCTAATAATAATTCAATTTTGAAAAGATTTTCCCCCAAAATTATGTAGAATGGATCCTGACAATAGGAAAGAAACCTTCCCACAGCATGGATACCAACCTGGGGAAAGCCCACAGAGGAATACTCAGAGGGAGAATCCTCTGAGAAATCACAGAAGAGCCCCAAGGACACCTGTTCCTTGTCTACTCTGGAACTGAACAAAGTACAAGATAACACGACACAACAGCTGGGTGGATATTGTTTCTTAAAACCTGAGCCAGTTTCTTCTTGACCAATCCCAAGGTTTGTCCTGAGAATTTTCTATAGGCTTAAATAACCTAAAGAATTCAGCCACAGTGCATGGCTAATCAGAAACTGGTTTGATCTAAGGGTAATGGGTAGGCTTGAATCCTCCCTGGTTGAATTGTAGAACTCAATTTGTTATGGATGCCATGTCTTACTTGGGAAACTTCAGATTGTTGTATCTTCTCACACCTCAGGGACAGTGAGCCTCACAGGTGACCCTAGGCACAGTGAGTGGCTTGGGAAGCAGGAATCTGGAGGGCACATGCACTTGAACAAGGACAGAATTGACCCCTCAGGGGTCATAGAAGCAGCCATGCATCTGAAGTCTTGGGCTTCTACCAGGATACTGTGTCAGACCTTATCATTCAGGAATGTCCCAAAAGGGTCTCTTCTGGGTTGTGGTGAATGACAAGAGTACAATCTTAGGAGTCAAAGAGGTCTGACTTTTAATTCAGACTTCTCTGACTTGTAATTGGATTCTATTTGTATGCTTGCTTAATTTTCTTAGCTATTGGCATTGGAATATTATTTATTACCTCATTCATAATTGCAAAAAATCAAAGATTAAATGTGGCAAATAATTTACTTTCTTCTATCTCTCAAGCTATAAGGAGACTTTTAAAATCTTGGCCTTGCACCTAGTATAGCTATTTTATGTATTGTGTGAATGAGTGAAACAGTAAATAAAAGAATCCATCAGAGAATGAATGAACTAATGAACATATCACAAACTTTCAGAAATTGAATGCATGTAATTCTACTCTAATGAAAATGTCATTATCCAAGTTTTATTGGTTGCTTAAAATTATTTTAATTGAAAAAAA